GTCAATCTCAGTATCTATATCCCCATGGAGAAACACTAACCACATTTCATAATGCTGTTATCAATCACAGGACGTTTGAGAGAAACCTTGCGCCATAAGGCGTGCATCATATCGTATTATTTCATTCATCTCATAACGCTTCCTTTCCCACTTGTAACACAATAAGGTTACCTTGGATAGTGTAGGAACGACAGGTCCAATACACACTTTGGTAAGGAATTTGACCTGGATTGTAACTTTAGTTGTCCAATCAGTTCTACGTTATCACTTAATCAACGGAACACGGTTCGATATCGTCGCTTTTCATTTATGTCGGTAGCTACCATATAAGTGAAAACATCATCGATGATAATCTCATTTCAATTCCATTAGCTTATCCAAACTAGTATACTGGACCAAGAACTTTAAGTTTCGGGAGAAATCCGGATTAATCTCATGAGATGGAAATGATTTGAGACAGCGATCAAGTGTAGATTCATTTTGTGTCATGCCTTCCTCTTCGAGGAAAGTGAATCCTACGAACCAAATGATCTGTCATGCTCCAAACCAAGACAGATTGTTTGGTTATCCGCCAATGTACCGGACCGTCCAAAATGAGCTTCCAAACCGTCTAACAAGGGTGGCACACCCTCCAGGGATGTTGACTTGACGTCCGTTAAGTACGTCTATCCTTGCAGGCATGTTTGCAATTGGTTTATGATCTCGTCACTGGAGCGACATTCTGAAATCTAGAATTTATCGCACTTACTTATCACACTTGTGTGGTATAGGGATCGAGATGAGACATAGTGAGCAACGTCTACTCAAATTCGGGTTATTCTCCAGGAACATTGACGTTCTTATTTCCCCTTAAGGGATGGAAGACTGTCTCATTAAATTGACAACCCGCAAATAAGCTGTAAAGAGATCGCGTGCAAAGGCTCTAAAAGAGCTAGTGTGAAGGAGAATCATTATCGACAAAAGATACACATCCTTCGTTGAAGACCCATAGTGGTACGTTGTGGCGGCATAACTTGGCATATGGAATGCATACCCAAATGCGTAAATACGAAAATCGTTAGGTTTGTACCCAGTAACCAACTATAACGTCATATAGGTTGGGTGGTAATGTGCCTCAAGGCGGACCAACATAACTACGTACAAGGATTGCATAGCCCTAGGCAGAAACTAAAAACTTGGTACGTTTACCAAAATTCGGGCGATAATTTAAATTGCGCTTTATGATCACTAAGCGAGGCTATTTGGGGTGAATAATGGGACTTCGATGTTCAATTATAAACCCAAAACGACATGCAATACTTTATCGAAAATTGTCGATATAAACTCTCTGGCATTATCCAGTCTCCCGAACCTTATGAGATAAGTAGGGGTGGTGAACCCTTAATCAGCCATGAGGTTTAGCAGCAATGTGTATGGACAAACATGTGACCAGTTTGTCGATTCATCAACCAAAATCATAAGTATTTATATGGTCCGTATTTTGGATGAGTCCACATATATTCCCTTAAATCCACTGTGAAAAGAGAGTCGTGTCATATCTTTGCGAGGAATGATATAGAAAATCAATTTCCTTAATGAGCATGAGTGTGCGTGTAAGTATAAGGTCCTTACTTCGGGTAAGGAGATGCGTTGTAGCATCATTGTTCGACCTAAGTGTCCCAAAAGGTCATGCCAAAGCAAGTAAACTGCTCAATCATCCAGCTCCAGGCCGGCCACATATGGCATATGCCTCAGTTGGGGGACATCCCATTAGCCCAAAGTTAAAGCATCAGGCTCATTTTTGGAGGTGGTGCAAAGATATTTCATTCTATGTTCTTCAGTGGTTTCATTTATGATCATTGTCATCTCGAATATCCTTAAAAACTCAACGTCAGGGAGAATTTAAGGTCCCTTAAATGGTGATTCAGTACCATTCATACAACGAGGAGCGTGCCAATGCTCTTAATCATGTTGGATAGACTTGAAGTCGTTGTTAGAGATGTGATTTAGGTGTAAAGTTAGTGTGCGTAGTACACATTCATCCAGACAACTAACTTTCCCACATTCATACCTAATCATATGTTTAATTGAATCGGTTACATGTATTAAGAAACATAATTCAATTAACTCATATTCGAGGACAATATCAATAAGATTATCCATAAGTAAAACATACACCAAACTTGAATCCAAGAACATGGAAAAATGTTCACAAAGTAAATAGTTTACTAAGGGGATTCGGCCAATAAGGCCATCCATGTCAAAATTTTGCTCTTCCAACGGTGTTCGATTGAGCAAAATTAGTCTCACATATTGACTACTAGAATGGTACTCCTCAACGGTATTGGTAAGGGCACGAACAGGTGCATAACCAATGATCTATTCCATCGATACAGAAGTAGATTCTGCAAAGGTTGAGGTTTGGGAATATTATCCCTTATTCTTAAGTTTTAGGTCTTAGGTGCCAAGGATCATGCTTCGGGCATGATGCCACACCTTGGCCGGCCCTGATTCTACCATATGTTTGTGGTACTAATCAGATCCGAGAATGTGGTAAACTTTCGTTTTCTACACTGCTGCGTCATGGGCGAGTTAGAAACATGGAAGGATGAGAAAAGTATTCTTGAGGCAAAATTTGATCCGATTTATAAACTTCAAAATTATACTCATTCATGGACGTAATCATGATGTGCTTCAGGCAATATCTTTCATGATTAGACAATCCGTAGGGGCGAGCCAAAGAGCCATGGAATCTTCGTTCAAGAGGTACTTCCGTTTGTAATGCTTTGGGTATAAGTCTTCAAATGAAGATCATGGTGGAGGCTTATTCAGCTCTTCTTTGCCATTGTTGGCTTCAATGTTTTCTCAGCTTCATGATAGTCAAGTGGAGATTCACGTCTTGTACCCCACATTAAGTGGTTTCTCTTAGAAACTTCCAAACCAGGAAATCGAACTTGTGACGGTTCGACGATCCACTGAATTGGAGGGAACAAGATTGTGATTGGTGCTATGGGAATGAATCATCTATGAGCATCAAAGTTAGAACATTTGAGTTCTAAGACATGGTTTTCATGAAAAACGTCGGATTTTCATGGGTGTATTGTTTTATGAAAATTTCAGGTTTCAAAGGCACTAAATTTGAAACTACAGGTTCAATTTAGTTTATGAACATTTAGTTCATAAAAGAGAGGTTCCTGTAAGAACACAGAATGCAATATACAACTAAGTGTAGTGGATTTAAGGTTCTTTGGGAACTCAAGTGTGAGTGTTTCGGGACTACAAAAGTAAGTCAACGGTTCAAAGAAAAGAAATAAAATATTGAATCGTTAATGTCCAAAAGTGATATTCAGGTCAATAATTTTGGATTCATTATCAGATTAATGGACTGCAGGTCACTTTTAATTAATTCAATAAATCGAGACTATTCGGGGTCGATTGTAGAAGCAAAAAAAAAAAATAACGTTTGGGTTAAAATGATTTAAAATGCCAAAAATTAGCATTGGATTCAAAAATCCATAGCCCAATAACATTGGGCTTGGGTGCTGTGAGTAGGGCACCAAAAATGTGGGTTGAAAAGAAAAAACAAGCCGAAAATGGCTTTTGGGCCGAGAAAACCACAGCCCAACACTTGTTGGATGGATATGAGATGCACGGCCTGCAACATGCTGTAAAGGGTAAGCCACGGCTACACGACAGCCCAAATAGGTGCTAGTGGGTTTGGGAAAGCTGATTGCAGCCCAGCGTATGAAGCAAGTTGTAGGCTTGCAATTGTGACGTGGGCTGTGTGTTGTGAAAAGCCCAACATGCGCTAGCTTTTTGGTCAAAGGTCGTGGGTGTGAAGCCCAATACCAAGGACTTAGTCCTATTTCGTGGGCCAAAAAAAAGTTAGCCGAGAGCCCAAGTTTCAAGAGCTATAAGCTCAACTAGTTTGGCGAGTCAAGGCTTCCAGCCGTGGCCTGGTTGCGATTTTGGGCTTTTTTCTTTTCTTTCTTTCTTTTCGATTTCTAGGGTTTCAGAACCAAAAAAAAAAAAAAATCATGCTTCTATTTTATTTCGATTCTTTGACTCACAAATTCCACATAGCGATTTTATAATTGCGTAATGCATGAAACAAATATATATATTGACAAATATATGAAACATATACAATATATATATATCGGAAGGAAAATATAAACATAGGGGGGTTCATGTATCATGGGGAATGTTTTCATGCTTCAAGGTTGTGTCAAATATCTTACTTTATTTTAAGCGTACCTGATTGGTAGAAAACAACAAAAGCCTTTGAATTTGTAGAAGATTCTTCTCGAAAAGCCGGAATTGCATATCCAATGCGTTGTATCACGTTCAACATAGAAAAATTAAATTGAATCAATATCATGTATATCAATCCAATAAAATAATAAATTAATCATAAAAAGAATGATTAAAACGTAATACTCCCCTGATTGAAGAATAAACTCTCTTTAGCGTAGCGTTAAGAGCGTGCTGATAACGTGTTGTAGGCATAATTTACTGAACAATTATAAAGGCCAGAGAGAGAGAGGGAAGGTGCGGCAATAGTAGAGAGAAAGAGAGATGTGTAATTGTGGATGTATGTTATTCCACTCCATTATGCCTTTATTTATAGTAGTAGGATAGGTAAAAACTTTTCCCTTTAGGATTACAACATTTAATGGGTAATCTACTCCTAATAGAAATATAAGGGATATTCCAAGATATACTAGAATTTACACAATCAAATTCCTAATCTAATAGGACTGCAACAATTAATATATTTTTAATTCGGTTCAGTTCGAGTTGATTTCTGAACTATAAAAATCGAAACTGAACCAACCAATTTTGATTCAGTTCGGTTTTACACATTTGGTTCGGTTTCAGTTTGGTTTTCGAATTGGTCTTGTACCCTCTCAGGTAGCTTCGCCAGATTTGGGTGAACTGTGGCCTACTTACTCTGCAAAATGTAATTAACTTTGGCCTAATTAGCCTGCAAAATGCTATTTTCTTTCTTTTGGGTAGGATTTAGCAAAAGAAGACCTTGCTCTTCTCATATTCTCAGAGCCAAACAAGCAAAACACAAGAAGCTATTGGGGCATATGTGACATTTTAGTCTGCATAATTAGGAGGACAAGTGGATTATACATCTCTAATTTACAGGTTATCTGTCTGCCTAAGCAAACTTTGCCAAAATTTGCTTACATTTTCGCCTGATATGTTGAAAAGTTAATTAGGCTGTGGTTCTAGTGAGTGAAAGAATGGTAGACACCATCAACTTGTAGTCAATTGGCTTTGTTAAATAAGCATCCATCCCCACCTCCAAGCACTTTGCTTCATCTGATGACATTGCATGAGCCGTTAGGGCAACGATCGGAATGTGTGAATCCGTCCCCTCCTCCGATTTCCTGATTGCTTTCGTTGCTTCATAACCGTCCATCTTCGGCATCTGGTTCACATAAACACACACAAGTTGATCAACTTCATGAATCATGACACGACGTGATGTATGTTTAAGAAACAAATTGTTATATTTACAGCGCTCCGGATTTGTATAGGGTTTAGGGGTTCTTCAGTACTAAGTAGTAGGGTTTAGTCCTTTGAAATGTTAACTCCTTTTTCTTTTTCTATATGTAATTCTTCCATTGTGAATAATGTAATGCCGAAAAAACGAGATTTTAAGAGCTTAAGAAAAATAGATATGAATTGTTTTTTGAGTTCTGATTCTTACCTGACAATCCATTAGAATCAAGTCGAATGGACGGAAACCCCAACTTTGATTATCTGAATTCGTATCTCCGTCTTTCGAGTGAAATTCACTTCCACGATCTTCTGCAGTGATCATACAGTTCAGAGCATCTACTGCCTGCAGTCCATCAGCCACAGCAATCACAGTAGCCCCCATTTTTTCGAGCATTATGGTTGCAACTCTCTGCAGTACCGGTGTATCTTCTGCAAGAAGAATGCGCACGCCTTCAAGAGATTTTTGTTGATTCATCGCCCTACTTGTATACGAACTACCATTCTCTTTAGAACTGCTGGTGGTCGAACTCTGTTCTTGAAATTTTGAGTTTTCGCATTGAGGTTCTGTTGCATGGGATGCTTGACTAGTACTGCTCATTACTTTATGTTCTGTGTCTTCCATGTCTTCTTTCCTTGAATTATTGTCTTTCGAGCATACGCGCGTGAGTTCAACTAAGCAGCTGTTAACCTCTTGGTACTGCGATGAACTGGGTTTCATGATCCCGTCTCTTTGTTTTTCTTCGTCATGAAAGGTGTTTTCAGAATTAGAGTTGTTCTTTTCGGATATATCAGAATCATCAGAGCTGAAGACAACATCGAAGTGAATAGAATCAATCTCAAGGCATTCATGCAAGTCACCTTCTTTCGTGGTAGTTCTCAAACCATTTGCATTTCTACTCTGCGTTTCAAGATTTCTCTCTTTCATCACAGCTTCCAAAATATGAACCATTTTCGCCTTGTACAGCGGTTTATTAACCATCAAAATATACCCTTTTCTTCGGAGCTCCATCTTCACGGCGTTGGATGTATCATGATTCAGTATCCATGCAAACTTTGCTTTGCCCGAGTACTTGTCAAGGAAGTTAAGCTGTTCCTTCCATATATCTGTGCTCAAGTCAAGCAGCCCTATATCGACAACCATGAGAAAAGCTGGGTTCCTCATGTCATATGTGTTTCGTATTTCACCTCTCAGAGATTCACTCAGCGAATACTGTGTTTCAAAGCTGTTTTTAAGAGATGAATTCCTGCTATGAAAGAGTTCTCGAAGAATTTGTGTCAGTTCATTCCACTCAGATGTTGCCAAAGTGAACACTCCATTTTTCCGTAACCACTGGGACATAATCAGTCTCCCCATGCTGCCGTGTAGTGCAAGCAGCACCTGCATTCACATTCAATCATTATTAGTACCTAAGTACAAGAAATCCATATAAACGTCTCAGTTTCTGGTTTCGGATAACCTGAAAATCCAAAAGAAAGTTAACTTACCACTACATTTTGCTTTGCAAAATCCACTTGACAATGTTGCTCCGTGCCATCTGCAGGCGTATTGAGAACCAAGTAAAATTGCATTAAAGTACCCTGCCCGTCCTTCTTCACAACCTTGATTTCTCCACCCATCTTGTTAACCTGCCATCACCGGTATACAATTATTTGAAGCGTAAAAAGGAAACATGGAGAAGATGCAGAATAGCATAACATTGTTGCATGTCCGAGTGAAAACTGATTACAACTGGAAAATTTTCAAGCTTGCAGCTGATAATGTGATTGTTCAAAGGTCATAACTTACACAAAACTCGGATAATCTTTGTGTTTCGGTGTTCGTGGAATGTGATTACGAAATGTAATTTACTTTGACATTCATGACTACTCTACATACTTAGAAATTGTTAACTCACCAATGTTCGTACAATGCACAGTCCAAGTCCAGTTCCACCATGTCTGAAAAACAAGATAACAGAGATAAGCATGCCGGGAAAAACCACAGGACAGTGGAAGTTGCTTGATTTACTTACGTTCGAGTTGTTGAGGGATCAGCTTGCTCAAAGCTTTCAAAAACAGATTCCCATTTACTCGGATCAATTCCTGGAAAATATAGTAAACGGATAAATGACGCAAGTTATCATGGGAAAAAACGTTTTCCGAGTGAGTTTTTGTGTGTGCTTGAAATAAGGTTCTCCGTTGCATACCGCAACCAGTGTCATCAACTTCGAACCAAAGAACCATTTTGTTGTTGTCTTTCTTGGGAGCATTTTTAACATGGTTGCCTTGCTTCAGCTTTGCCTTATGAGACGGTGGCAAATTTTTCTGATCATGAAGGATTCTCCTGGTGTCACCGGAAGTGTTCAAGTTCTCACACGATCCTCTAAGTATAACGTGACCCGCTGCAAACATTTGTCGCAATTCTTCATACAAAATACAAGAAAAGTTGTATAAAACAGAGCTAAGCGAAATGGGTATAGTATGGAAGTTTTACTTACATGTAGTGAACTTGATAGAGTTACTGATTAGATTAGCAAATATTTGAACAACTCTTGCAGAGTCCCCTCGAACTAATTTCGGCATATCATCTGAAAAATAAAAGATCGATCAAATAAAATTTTGACGAAAAAAATAGAATGACTGGTAATCAAATACTAAGCATTTCTGTTTAATAATACCAGAGAGATCTAAAACAGTCTCCACATTGTGCTTATTGCACTGCACAGAGAACATGTCGAAGAGCCCCTCGAGTTCTCTTCCCAGATCAAACTCGGCTTCTTCCAACACCAGTTTTCCAGATTCAACCTGCAACATATTCCAGCATCAATTTTTTCTTTCATATTAGCCAGTCATTAGTTTCTTTTCTGGTTAAACGGTGCGATGTCTTTATGTCTCACCTTGCTGAGATCTAATATGTTGTTGAGAAGCCGAAGTAGAGCGGTCGAGCATTTTCTGATCTGAGTAACTGTGGAGTATTGCTCATTTGTAAGGCAATCATCACTGATCAGAATGTCCAGCAGCCCAATCACTGCCGCCATTGGCGTCCTCAGTTCATGACTGCAATACAACAAAGTGACATACAGTTGAATTAGCTCACAAGGCAATATTTTAAACTACTCTAACTATAAAGAGGGGATCAAACTCGGGCGCATGGGGGCAGGGTTACTTCCTAGGCCAAGATAGCGTGGGCTTGTAACTTAACATGGCATTAATGTGATTGGCGTGTAATGAAATCTCGATTCTACCTCATATTGGCTAGAAATTGGCTTTTGTAGTTGCTAGATGCCTCGGCCCTTCTTCTTGCATCAAGGTGACTTATCAGCTCTGCCCTCAGTTTCATTTCCTTTGAAACTCCATTTGTGAGTATGAAAATACAAACACATCCAATCACCAGAATGCATAAGGATGCAGATATCAGTATAACCAACGTTTTCAACGCTCTTTCATCTACCTTTCCCATTATATATTTTCTCGGAATGATGATAACTCCTACCTGCACAAAGCGTAACGATATAGTTTATTTCTTAAATGTTCTAGACAACTGTATTCTTCATAATCCCACATTGGAAACTTGACAAATTAAAATACAGTATATAAGTGAGTAGTTACGCTACTAATATCACTGACGCCTTTTGTGATAAAACCCCAAACAAATGTCCATTAAATACAAGTTGAAAACAGTTGGTGTTTGGAAAAAGCTTACCAGAGGAAGTTTCTTTAACTTCAGAAAAAACGAGTCGATGTAATACTGCTGGTTTCCAAGCCTGGCATTCTCAACATGAATCTCATGACTAGGAGGAAAATTGTCACCATAGGCTCGCTGTAACCACTCCGCTCCTGCGTGTATGATGTGATCCTCAGAATCAACAGCCATCATGAGCTTAGGGCCTCTCGTCGAGTTCCTCAAAAGAGGAGCATTTGTTGACGTAGCAAGCAAGTAACCTTCCTGAGAAGTTAAATAAATATGTCCACTGTGAAACTCTACAAGCTCTTTCATCAGCTGCCCTACACTGTACAGAGCTGTAGTAACACCCACAACTGCCACTATGCTTTTATTTGAAGGGTCAGAAACTGCCAGCGCAGCTGAAAGCAGTGGTGAATCCGAGTACTTGCTCACTGCCACGTGCCACGTTGCCACACCATCCGGCACTTGTGACAGCCCTGCAATGTTGATGAGGTCATCCGGCTGAATTTGGGTTGCTTTCCCTGTCTTCTCCCCTGTGACTGGGTCAAGTGGCTCGCGGTACCATTTTGCAGAAATGTTGCCGTGTATGGACTGATCACTCCACTCCTTATGTGTTGACAGCATATTAGCATCGTACACACCACTTGCGCTGATCGAATAGTTTGCGAGATCAGAGTAGATATAGTATGTGTTGTTGCTCCTGTGGTCTCTGTGGAATGCCTGGACAAAACCATTTCTGTAATTTATAGTGATTGCATTCAGAGCCTTCCGACTCACAAACATTGCCCACGTCACAGCCCTCATCGAGGCATATAGCTGCTAAGAGTAGGAAAAATGTATCAAATCAAGAACATTGCTGAACAGTCTCGAATCAAATCTACAAGAACACGAAAAATGGCTTAACAATTAATCAACCTCAACTTGTTCTGCTTGACTAGTAGGGTTGCTGTTCCGTTTGATCACATACTCCGAGAGCTTAACCTGTGCTGCTGTTATCTCAGCTGTGGAATTCAAGATGTTCCACATCCTTAAAATTGGACGTTGCAGAAGTTCGTAGCGAAGCCCGTACGCTAAGTTGCTTAGAGATTTTGCAGTGTAGATCCTTGTGAAATGCCATGTCAGTATGGTAAGTAGCCCTATCAAAATGGCTAGCATAACCTGCATTAAAAATCATCAATATAGTAAGGCAATGTGTAATCCGTACGCTAAGTTGCTCCTCCGCCTTGCATATCACAGTTTTGCGCATTAAAAGTGCAAACAGAATAATTTATGTACACATGTCAAGCCGTAATTTGCAGGTAATAAACAAGGTTTTTCAACGAAACAAAGAAGTGAGTGGCGCTGTCCTTCTAACTAACATCAAGCTTTACATATTGATCATGTTTTCAATATCATGTGACTGATTTGTACTAACCATGATGGCAAGGCGGGCGACAAAGACGCTGTAGTAGGAGGAGAGGCAGTGAGCATTTCCATACTGGAACTGGTCTCTTTCAACATCCCTATGAAAGATTCTTCTGCCCCGAGGAGTTGTAGTACTGTTCTTTCTCCAAGGTGTGGCAAAACCTGAAATTTTATCGAACACTTTTCCTAGAGGAGTTGCCATTGCTGAATATTCATGAGCACTATCACATGAAACTTAACAAATCATGCAGACTTAGAGAGAGAGAGAGAGAGAGAGAGAGAGAGAGAGAGAGAGAGAGAGAGAGAGAGAGAGAGCTGTTGGAGTGGGTGGGATTATAAAATGTACTGGTTTCTTGAGTCACAGCACTTTCTACTTAATGCAATTGCGTAGTGAGTGGGAAGTTCTTGTGAGTGGTTTTTATTCCTTCATCATCCAGAGCATCAATGCCACATCTCTCTAAAATCTGCTTTTTTCAATAGTGCTTTTGCCCAAATTCTGACTGCTGGCTCTGGTGGTGCTTTTTGGATCTAGGGCAACCCATCCAGTTGTTTAAGGCAGAAGCAGACATTGAAGTGAACATTTTATGGTGCTTCCATTACACAGCTATTTGAGAATTACATTATGTGGGTTAGCCAGGGCCCACAAGGCTCATGCTACTAAGGGAAAACCTTATCAACTGGATATGGTACTCTTTTTGTTTTGTTACGAGCGATAGCAAATGGAGAATCGAGCACAAAACTCTCGTCTTTTTTCCTTTATATTTTCTTTAATTCAACATTTGAGATTTGTAAGGTTCGAACTCATAACTAAAGTAGATCATAATTTATTGATTTGAAATCGATAGAATTAGTCCCTAAATTTGTCTACAATCAATTATTTTGGTCATTCTATGAAAATTCTTCATAAAATAAGGATAAAATGACAAAAATATCCTCAATTTATGTTAAATCATTTTGGCCTATTGTTTATTATATTGAGGGTAATTTTGTCATTTTGATCCTTATTTAACATAATTTTTCTCCAAAAGACCAAAATGATTGATGGTGGACAATCTCAGAGACCAAAATGAGGAGTTAGGCAAATCTCAGGGATCATTTTGGCTAAAAAGCCTTTATTAATACGATAATTGTCTACCAATGAAATTCACCAAATGGAAAGACAATCGGAGCGAGTTTAGCATGAAATAAAAGATTTGTTCTTGTTTTGATACTGTCAATATTGGAGAAAAAGAATCGAACATAGGACTTTGGATGCAAGTTTGATTATAACATGTTCTGTTTTCTTTAATCCAACGTCTGAGATTCGTAAGATTTGAACTCAGAACCTCTTCCAACAAAGTAAAAGAAGATGACGATACACGAAATCATAGTCGAGGATTGGATTTTTATACTATGGATGTCTCTACCAATGAAATTCACCAAATTTAAAGATAATATAAGTGAGTGAAGGTTAGGCTTCACTCACCTAGGGTTTATTCCATTGGCTGAATGTTAGAAACCGAGGACACTTTCACTGAACATGTAAAAGTGGTACCAGAAATTTCTTCCAGAATTCAGAGTGAGAGTCTCCCAACGCTCTTTCAGTTTGTCAACAGTCATCATGTTTCTTATTTAGTTGGTAGAAATGATTTGGAATAAACTTAGTAAACTGCAGGGGTCAAAGTCCTTAATTAAGGTTACTTAAGGAGAAATAGTGTCCTACAAACACCATCATTTAACCCTATTTTGGAAGTCTCAGTTTTAAGTTTTTCTATCTTTCAGTATCGTTTTAAGTCCGTTAAAAAAATAAATTAAATATAAATGATATTTGAGATTGTCATAGCTACTTACTTTGATCCTTAATATATGAAATCGATAGAAGTGATTCTTGAATTTGTCCACCATCAATCATTTTGATCATTCCGTGAAAAAAATACCAAAATGAAAAAAAATACCTTTAAATTTTGTCAAATCATTTTGGCTCATTGTTTATTAACGGAGATTTTTCATGGAAGAATCAAAATAATTGATGGTAGACAAACTTAGCCAATATAAATTTAAACATTTAACCTTACATCCGAAGTATCGATTCGCCTAATCTGACCTCCAATTCTTTTTTTATGCTAAGGAAAACCCCACATTAATGGTAATTAGGCGCTAATCACCATTTAGATTATTAAGTGACTTTAAGTTATTGTAAGTTGCTACCCAACTTATTGGGAGATAAAAACAACAATATCTCAGTAGTAATAAGCTTTTTGGGGGGAGTAGGGGTAGCTGCCTATAACATTTCTTTTACGACAAGAATAAGGTGTTGAGGGCGGCTTAAAAAATTAATAGGAAGTATGGAACTAAGACAAATTATAAACTAATACAATTATACATAATATGAGTGTGCACATGTAATTTGACTTTGATGGTTCATCCTCTAGAACATAGAATTTATGATCCACCTCACCAGTCACTACTTAACATTGTACTCATAATACCTTCAAAATTAAGTTACACGCTCTGCCGTCAATAACAATTTCACACTTTAAAAATACTTATATATGATGAATGTTTTGTCCTTAAATACAAATAAGAAGTTAACATGAATGTGGAAACTTTTCATTTAGTTGTTTTTACGAGTCACTTTCATATACGTGTTCATTTTTAATTTGAGTTCGAAGACTTTTATAAATCACTATCATTATGCGTCGGTTCTTAATTTGTTTGTTAAAACATAAGAAATCAAGTAGTGTTTATATTCTTTTATTCTTAGATGACCTAACAAAATGTTAGGAAACGATATTATTAAGTTATCTAATGCCTTTGTAAGTTTGTTCTCACTAAAGAAGTAGATAGTGGCACATCCTCTTTCTCTAATCTCTAGAGATTTGATCACTTTGGAGTCATAATTTCAATATTGTATGGCTTCCAGCACGAAGGCCATTTGACATATATGGATTCAATGGATCCTAGTTGGGAAAAACATGCAGGTAAAAAGGTGAAAAGATTCAAGGATATAATTAAGCTGGTTTTGAATATCTTAAGTGATGTGTCTTTGTGTGCTTAATTACATGGTTTTCATAGTTAAATGACATCATTTTGCTTTGAAATCTAAGGAAGATATAATCCGAGTCATTGACATCACAAAAAGTTTCACACCCAAATTATCTGGAGTCACGTACATGGGGGACGACATATATGTTTGCACTAAAATGTACAGCATTATGTATGAACATTATACTGTCATCGAGTATTAATAGGACATGATGCTTAAGTTTCTCAACGTTCTTCTCAACAAGTCTGTCATGCAAATCATAGACCGATACCTATAAATATAATTAATTAAAAGCACAGAAAAATCAGGTTTCGCACATGTTAAATTATAAAATTTGTCTGTAAAGAAGAATGAGTCATTTCAGATAAAAAACGGAAGACCGGGTATTTTCCGTTTAGTAAGGGCAAGTTCACATATCATGAATCAAGACACATCTTTGCTACCTTGTTTTTTGGTTTTCGAAGCACTTAAAGCAATAAAGATGAAAAATATTAGGTAAGATTGTCAATGTCAATGATTGGAATTCCAATTCGTGGGAAAAGGCAAATTGTTCCAAGGATTGTCGATGCTAATTACTTAATTCAGAGAGATAACAACAACCACTAAAATAGGGTGAGGATACTTTGCAATATAGAATCAGACAAGCAAATCAAGTGGAGACGCCTTGACGCAGAAATTGGGTTTGGGCAACAAGAATACCACGTGTTTGTGGGAGGATTTACACGAAAGAGGGATTTGATTCGTTGCTCATGGCTTGAAAGGGTCCAAATGTGAGGCCATCAAGAGCTGGTGGCCTAGAATTAAAGCAACAAACACTCCAAAACTGTACCCCTCACATCTCCCGCAAATTCTCAAGTGTGGCTGCCGTGCGGCACACGAAAGCACACTCAGCGAGGGGTGAATGCATCCCGCAGTCTGAGTGTGTTGTCGTATGCGACAGAGCGTTAACCCTATTGGATGTTCAAAGGAATGTGTAAAATGTTGGGCTTTGTTGTTGTTAGGCAAAAAGGTTGGAGGGTGAAGGTGACGGCATCGCAAGATTGAGAAAAAGGTGGTGTACGCATGGCAAGCTCCAAGAGGTGTTTGGGTCCATCCAACTCAATCACTCACACTTGGTGTTGGATTTATATTATTGATACATGTAACATGATAGGTCATATAATTGGACACATCAACGATGGGATGGGATGGGATCCACTGCTAGGTGGGTGCACCGATGGCAAATGCACCATCACCATGGTTCAATTTTGAAAGAGGGTGAGTGCTAACTTTGAAGTCCATGACCAAGAATAGTTTGTTTCACATTTGAGGTGACAAGCTCAGTTTTCGACGAAGCTGCCCTGTACGGCACACTCAAATGGAGTAGGACAGAATAGGTCCAAATGCACGGGACCCATTCCTCCGCCGTATAGGGCACCTCACGGAAGACTTTTTTCCTAAGGCTGGGGATAGACTCTATGGCGTGGTACGATTTTAACACAGGGAACACGTAGGGCAGTGATAGTGTTGTGATGTTCCATATTGAGTTACAAATCATTAAGCGACAAAAATGTTGAAAATAGGGAGGAAATTTCCAGATGTGAACATCTTCAATAAATATAAAAAGTAGTTTACATAGATATGTGTCCATGGTTTCTGGGGAAAAAAATAGGGGATGATAAATTTTGGAGGGGCTAAATCTTTCAAACAAAGAATTTCCCGGAACAAGTTATTTGGATTTCTTAGTTCTTTCCTCCTCAGCTGCTGCCTTAGCAGCAGATTTGGCTAGGGTGGTGGATTTGAAAGCGCTTTTTGGGTTGAGTGCTTTTCGTATTTTAAAAACAGTCCACGCAGTTCCGACAGCATGTCCTGCTGCATCAAGCCCGTCGTTTGCAGCCTTACCTGCTTGTTCACCATACCTGCAGTACAGACATACTCCAGTGTTTACGTGACTATCACAGAAGCATAAATACCATTGAAAATCGCAAAGTAGTTCATCAACTACTGCTGCTTAAAGATGGGGACAGAATACCCCTTCATCGATACCGGCAACAAACATAAATTGGGTATGGAACTAAGGGTTAACTTGTTGATCCGAAGCCAACACAAATGTCAATAGCCTCTTGCAATGCATCCCTAATATGTAGTGAGCCAAAATGGTAGGTCTACTGTCCACATGAATCATGTATATCTTTTCAGTCTTTATTTGTTTCATTTATGCTACATTACTCAAGCATCATGCATCTGGTGAATCTTACCTGTGGGAGACGAGGTCAGTTGTTACAGTAGATGACGTTGACATGACATTTTTCCCGGCTACTTCAACAGCATCGCACACTTTGCCTAATTACATGAAAATATAAACAATTAAAATTCTACCGTATGATTGAAAACGGTCATGTAATGATTATAGAAACAGAAAATGTAAAGATACTTAATAGATCACCTATGATGGCACATTAAATCTTAATACCTTATAGTCAAATATAGTAATATATCTATAGGTTTTGGCTAAATACATGGCAACTCGCCATGATAGTCGGAAAAAAAAAATTCTTTAGCTGCAAGAAAATCCACCCTTCAGTAAAGGGTCAAAAGAACATTTTCGGTCTGATACTGAACTAAGAAATAGATTATCATCACCACTCTTATAATTTATGAAACCCGCAAGAGACCCAGGGTTTCACTCTAAGCTGCAATGAAATGTCACATATATACAGACAATTTGTGTATCATTCAGAGTGGAAGTATTAATTAAACCAAGACAGGAAGTAGGAACTGCAGAACAAAAGCTCTAATTAAAAAAAAAGTAATATCTTTTATTAAACAGAGAATCAAAATCAAGGTATGGAGATAATCAACGTACAAAATCCATCCAGCGATGCTAGCAAAATTTCCCCAGGCAGATGACGGAAGAACTTCTTTCCCAGTTTGGAATTTACCACCGAACTTGTTAAGTATCCGGAAACTTTCAAAACCCCAGAAAGGACACCAGCTGCAACTTTCTGTGTCGTTTTGCTCACCTTCTTAACCCTACAGCAGAACAAGTAAAGGTTAAGTTTTTATCAAAATGATTCTACAGACTCCAGAAAGAAAAGTGCAAGGACCCAAACACTCGACTAGAAGATGAGACCCTTGTTGTCGGTATAATCAATGTTCATAGACAGAGCTGTAGAACAATAAGGCAATGTCCAGATACTTGCAACTAATATCTTTCCTGGATCCTACAAGAACATGAGAAGATAAAGGACCAAACTCCAAATACGAAAATTAGTCTCGGGCACGTATCTAAGTACGAAATCAGATTCATAATTTTTCCGCAATTAATCTGAATTAACATGTCAAGAGGTTCAATAAAAATGTGCATTGCAATATACAATATAAAACTTTTATGTTTCCATGGAATATTTCACTTGGCCTTAGCATTCGGATACCTGAGAGAAACAACCAAAACAAGACATTTAGCATTTATTCCTCAGAAACAGACAACCAGGAGTAATGCATCCATCAAAGACACAAACAACATCAGAGACAAAGTATATATCCAAATCACAAGCAAAAACAACAACAGAAATTTTATACCTTTTAATCCTCCTCATGGTTTGGGGACTGACTTCCTTGTTCGACCGCGGGTCCATCCGCTTCTTCATAACCTCATTCCCCAACTTCAACCTCTCCACCGTCACATCCCCACACCACAATATGCCCTTGATCAGCTGGCCCGACCCCGCTGCGATCAACTTGGCAGCCCTCCCATTGTAATCCTCCACATTCGGCGCCAATGTGGTCCAATATGCGGCGCTCCGCTCCTCCAACTCCTTCTTCTTCTCCGAGCTCAACTCCTCCGGCGAGGTCTCCAACGCCAGGGTATCGTCCAACGCTTCCCCTTTCTTCTTCGCCTTATCCGAAACCTTCTGAACCGAAAAACTGCAGTAACTCTTCAAAATCCCATCCAATTCCTTCACTAATCCCTCCTGCCCTTTCGACGCAATCGTCAATCCGTAGTTCAAAAAATTGTCCGGATCGTTTGTCTTCGCTTTCGCGTCCGATCCGGGCCCGGAGTCGGAATCCGGCGGGGCGTAGAGAGAGAAGAAGTAATGCGAGTCGTCGAGCTTCACGGCGCCTTCGTCCTTAGCCAGAGGCCACTGGATCTCGTCGCCGACTCGGGCGAGGATGGCGACGATGTCATCGCCCTGGACGAGGCGTATGATCGTGAAGTCGCCGGAGGCGAGCTCAACACTGTAGTGCGTGTCGATTAAATTAACAATGGCGCCGGGGATTTTGATGAGGACCTCTTCGGTGGCCACAGGTGGTGCCGACGGTGGAGCCTCGGGTGGAGCCGATGCCTCAGGCGGAGCAGAGGGGTGGTATTGGTAGGTAGGGTTAGGGCTTTCGGGGAATAGATTTTCGTAGAGGTCTTTCATGTCGAGGGAAGGGTAGAGATTTGGGGCTGAGGAGGTAGGGATTGAAGGTGCTTCTGGGTTCGAGTGGATGATCTCCGGGTAGAGGTGCTGTTTGGAAGCAGGGTTAGGGTTCGCCATGGCTGTGATTTCTTCTGTTTGTCTATGATGGGAGAAGATTAGGGTTTCAGGCGATGCGAAATGATGGAGGAAGAAGATGTTTGGGACCTTGGCGATCGGACTTTTCTCGAGATGGTGAACTGAGTTGGCATGACACGTGGCGGTTTTATGGTAATGCCAAGTAGGATTAAGGGAAGGTTACCTTCCCGCGCGTATACCTGTAGTAACGATTTTTTTGTTTTTATCTTTTTTGTATTTTTAGAAGGACAAAAAGGAAAAAAGGAACATAACCGCCGCCAACGACCTACCTACGCAAACACCCAACAACCAAAACAACCACAAGCCGGAAACGCAACGCCTTTCTCAATTTCGAAGCCCGAAAGCATGTTTTCGCTCTTTTGGGATAAATTTGACGGTTACATATTGCCATTAGCTAAATACTCAAATGTATAAAATCACGAACTATAATTAAAATAAAATGTAAAAAATTGAAATTTACACACTAGTTGATACTCTCTAATGTAAGTGAGTTCCTTATTACAAATCACACGTACAATGGCACGACAAATCAATATTCATCGAGTTGTGTTTATTCATCTTTAACCTGAATTACTGATTTCATAGCTCCGTTGTCTTCTCTCATCCTCATCATGTGAACCATATGGAGTACAGTTTAGCTCTCAGACCCCAAGTTGGAAAATGAGCTGGAAGCATCTCTGGTTGACATGATGAGTGACAAAGACAACGGGTATGAATTTGGTGCAGGTAGGTTTGGACAAGGATTGTCTGCCCTCCCGCTTCCCGTGCCCTCTTGTTTTGTGTGTTCACGGTTAAGCCAGATCAACATTTTATATTGTTTTTTATAGAGATAATAAGACAAAAATGAATAGTAATATAAAATGTTGACGTGGCTTAACCGTGACCACACAAAATAGAAGGACATAGGAAGTGAGAGGGCAGACAATCCTTGTCCGGTAGGTTTTCCTCCCATCAAACTCCAGCAATGACAGAACCAATACAAAGTTGAGATAATTTTTAAAGGAAAACTAATGAAAAGTCCAAAAAAACCTTTTTTTTTAACGAAAAGCATTTTTTAAAGGTATAGTGAATAGTATCAGTTAAAGGTAAAAATGTGATTTTTCGTTAAAAATGAATAGGACCGAGAGTGTTTTGTTAAAACTCCCAATTTTTAAGCTAGAAAACATCAAATGTGACAGATAATTAACACGGCACATGTTTTGATAATCTAATAATATGATATTTAATACTCATTTTGTTTTAATGTGTTGTATAGATTTATTTCTAGGAGGAGTGCGAAGGCTCAGTCGAGTGTGAATGACTGTAAACAGTTGATGCATATGCGACCTACAATCCAACAACGGTTCACGTAGCGTAGGTCTTGTTGCTAGTTGAATAAACAACGACATACTAGAGATAAATGTTTTAGTCGATGCACGGATGTTTTATCACTACCAACAAAATGAGAAGGAAGCCACTCAGTAATCAGTAATTACTCAATAACCATTAACAACTAAGAACACAAAGCAAAAATAGCGTCGTTGGTAACAATACAAATATCAATTCAATGCAAGATACATTTCAATGTTGCACATTTTTTGCTGGAACGCCATTAGTTTATCTGAAGCCGTCTGAAGCAAACATGATAAAGATCAATGTACTGGTGTAAAAACGGAGCTTTCTGACCTGGCGAACAAACATTGATCCAAAGTTCAATCATAACCCGAGTAGAGAGACGATCACTAAAGGTTGGAGAGGTTTGCTGCCTAATTAGAGGCATCTTTCAGCACAAGTTGGCAACGGACATGAACTGGGTGAATTCAGCAAACGAAACCTGCCTTTGAAAAGACAACTCCAGACATGCATCATTTCTCCTCCTCTTTTGGTGGTTTGTCTTCGTTCTTCTTCTGATCAGGCTTAGAGAACAAACAAAACCAAATCAGCAAATAACAGGAACGAGTATACTTTAATCGCACAAGTAAATCCAGGAAAAATAAATCATATTATGTTAGGAAAAGATACAGAACTTATGTGATAGGTGTGTAACTCAAGAATGATTTTTCAGCCTAGACCCGACACCTAGGTGCTCCAGTTGAGCATCTTCGACAAATGTTGTGTATAAAAAGCACTTGAAGTTAATTGAGGCTATTCCAAGAGGCCTAAAGATTGAAGCACTAAAGCATTTAAGATGATATAAACCTAGATGTGGCTACCATAGGGGTTCAAAAGAAGCCGGGATAATGTTAGAACTCTTGATATGGATCAAGCCTGTAGCTGACCTAACTTGTCCACAAATTCCACTAAAGCATAAGCACTCAGTTGGATACACAGATAAAACGCTCAGAAAAGTACTGCTCATCTTAATGTTTCTAGAGTGATGGCCGATTCAATATCACATCAATAACTGTCAATGACATGTTTATATTCATTTTGGCCAGAAAATAATATTAGCACTCACCAGTTGAGAGCTTTTCAAAGTTAAATAACAAGTTAAGGACTAGACCTATTGGACTATTACTATTTTCTTCCATTCATAAAACATACTCGGAAGTTTGATAATCTCACCTCTGACTGGTTTTGCATTGAAGCAAGCAAATCTTTAACTGAAGGATCATTTGGGTCAACCCCTGGAAGCTGCAAGAAACATTTAAATGTCATGTGTCAATTCACTAGAAGAGAAGCTTTTATACTGCATTTCTCTCTAGGGAAGGAAAGAAAAAAAATGGGGGACTGTTGTTGAAATACCGAGGCAAGGATGGAAGACACAAAAGACTGGTCGGCCAGTAATTTACTCATATCTTTCTCGCTACCAGAATCCTTTTCCCCTTCCTGAACAGACATTTGAAGAGCTGCAAGCACCAAATATTGGGAATTAAAGCCAAATACTTATTTTGATAACGGTAATGATAGTGATAAATTACAGAATATGCGACAGAAGAATACTGTTAGTTAAATTAACCAAGACAGTTCTATCTCACATGCTCAGAATTTCAGGATTTCTGCCAGTTGTTAAATGGACAGAGCCAAATGGTGCATACACAACCCATTTTTCAGAAGTGAATGACTCCAAAACGAGTAGCACATTCTTACTAAATGGTTAAAGCTTCCCATTTTCTGCAATAGCACATTACTCTAGGTTCCTAGTCCAACCACTGAGAAATTACAACAAACTAACATTTTTCTTCAACCTATGCATCCCATACATGAATGGAGTATGGTAAAATATAAAAACTCACCTAGAGCCAACTCTGGATCAGTTGCCTCAGACATATCTGTGTCTCGAATATCATCACTGGAGACAGGTTCATCCATCGACATTGCAAGGGCCTGTTGTAGCAGGGCATTCTCATCATCCTGTTGTCCATTTATGGTTAGTTAACATAGAACATAATGAGTTCTCTTTCATGCTAAGGACAAAACAAAAGATAAGGCATAACAAAGAATTAAAGACATTTAAAATAACCCAAGAACAGAATCAATCAGAACTTAAGGGTTCTAGCAAACTTCACAGTATGTTAGGGCAATAGAACATATTTTTCTTGTAATGCTACACCCTCACTGACCCTCTTATTTAAAAAATAAAGAAGAACATGAAAATAAAGAATGGGCACCTACCATGAAATCACTACTCTTATTCTCAGCTTCAGAAGTTCCAACACTGGCACGATCAGTCATCGTTGCATCTTGTGAGCTGGATTGCCCCTCCCCTCCTTTTTCCTGTTTAGCAACATCCTCGGATGCCTTTTTAGCAGCTGCTTCTTGTCTGGCCCTCTCTTCTTCCATTGAAACTCTAAGAGCAAGGGCAAGCTCAGGATCCAGGTTTGGATCCACACCGAAATCAAAACCAGAGACACCACCTGCGGCAGCAGCAGCTGCTGCTGCTGCAAAGCCACTTCCGCCTTCCCCATCTCCAGTGAAGATAGGTGTACTGCCACAATAGAAAAGAAAACATAAACAAAAATTCCAAGGGTAAAGTTTACCAATCCTCCATGAACCGTATTTAGTAACCTATATTAGTTTTTGAAGTTCAAAATTCGACACTCAAGCCCCTAAATGACATCGATGTTTTCATTCATCCAAATCCTAACTTTTGAACCAAGGTGGTCTATAACTAAGTGCTATAGTACCACTGAATTGAGCACTTTGCTATAAAATATCAACAAAAGTTAAGTTTTGGATCAACTAAAAAAAAAGTTTGTTAACTAGAAGATTAAGAGTTACATTTATGGATTTTCATATAAAAAGTGTCATATTTAAAGTTTTTTTTTTTCAAATAAAAGAGTGTTACATTTAAAGTTCAGGGTGCTAATATGAGACCCAAGTACAGTTCAGGGGTATTCACTCAACTTGTAAGGATTAAAACTTAACGAAATTGAGGAAGCAATAAAAAAACTGACCTTATAAGTACATCAGAAAGAGCACTTGGACCTGCTGGTACATGAACAATGTGGCTGGTGTCATTATTGTTCACAGCAGCAAGTAGTGCTTCTAGCTTCTCTGTCTTAGCTTCATCTTCTTCACCAAAATTGACAATATCAAGGGCCACACTGTTCTTCTTTAACTTCCTTCCAATCATCTCTAAAAGCTTTTTGTCATGTTTGACAGTACTGAAACACACATAAGTCAAAATGATCAATATGTAAGTAACTAGCAAATACCAAAATGAAAAGAAAAGCATGGCTTGGATTATGAACCTTCCAGCAAACACAATAATCCTCTGTTGCTGTTTCTTATTTTGGCGATGCTTAAGAGCCAATTGAGCCACCTGAATGCCAGCAGCCAGGTTCATCTCACCACCTATTTCTAAACCTAGATTTTCAAAAGGGGTCAAAATATCAATGAATGCATTCTATTATAGATAACAAGCAAGACTCACTAAAAATGAGAATGAGGATGTAGTCAATAAGGAGTCCCAACATTGAAACGTTCAAAACTTCAATAACACTACAAATCATATGTGTGAGAAATTAAAGTAAAAGCACTTACCATGCATGCATGCCAGAATCTTGCCAAGATCACTGGTTGGAGTGACCAAAACACGAACACCTTTTCCTGCCATGGTGAGAATTCCTACTGTATTCTCCGGATTAGACTGTAGACAAAAACCCATATGATTTCACTTCAGATTGAAAACCAAGAAGAAACCATTACGATCATATATCTGAACAACAACCAAAACCCAACCACAAAAAGCTCCTCTCTTTCCCTCTCTCGAAGCAATGAACGCACCAGAACACAGTCAAATGACAATCTACCAATATGTAAACAACAGAACGGCAATTCAAATCCCAAAAGTTACATAATTCCAATGAAGAAATGTTTTTTGGGAGATCATCTATAATCAACTAATGCAAAAGTTAACCTGAGCTCAACCTGCTAAGGCATTCGAAGTTTTCCTATCCTATCTCGAACTACCCAACAACCAACCAAACAATTACGGAAACAATTAGCAATAAAAAAATAGAAATCATAAATCTTTACCTGGGTTTTAGCTCCGCAAATCAGATTAACAGCATCGGCCTGAGCTAGAAACCTGGACGGAGCGTAATCACCGTTCCGCATCCATTCCGAATTATCAATGCAGATCATTGTCGCCTGTCCAGCGAAGCAACCCGAGCAATTATACGAACAAAATAACCAAAATTAAAACCCTAATTCGCGAGAAAGACGAAGAATTTGGGGAATTTGAACTTGCAGTGCGGAAATTAATCGAGGTCGTGAAGGGAAATTAGGGTTTCGGAACTCTTACCTCGAGCACCATGGTTGCAGATTGCGGAGAAAGATCGAGACAGTTTGATCGAGAAGAAAATATAAGTGAGAAGTCCTCTCCTGTCAGTTCTAAGTATATTTTTGTATTTCTCCTTATCAGGTGCGGACCAGGATTTTCGAGTGAAAGCTGTACAGAAAAGTCTACCAATGACATGCTGCCACGTAAGGTTTGAGTCCTTAGTATGGAACCCCGATCCTCTCCGGACCCAAAAATCTGAGCCTAAGGATCAAGTGATCCAGGCCGTTGAAATTTGATCCAACGGTTACAATTATTATACCTTTAAAGGGCCCCCTGTTTGTAGCCGTTGGATCAAATTTCAACAGTCAGGATCATTTGATCCTTAGGCTCAGTTTTTTGGGATCTGGAGAGGATATGGGTTCCTTGGTATGGCCTAAAGAGGAAATTAAAGGAAAATGATCATCTCCGGATCCTCTTTGTGGGGATCCGATAATCAATCAATCGTGCCCATTCATCGTACATCGTACGATCAGTTTTCGTTAAGTACTATTTATATTCAATTTAAAATTTAAAAATGATTTCTAACCGCATAATATATAATGAACAGACATGATTGATTGATCATCTGGATCCCTGCAAAGAGGATTCGGAGAGGATCCTATTCCGAAATTAAATGACCAAAGCAGAAAATTATAGTAATGGTATCTCAACTTTAACTAAATTGGAACAATGGTCCCTCAACTAAAATTCATGAACATTTGTCTTTTAACACATCAAAACCTGCAACTATGATCTTTTGCGTCAACTCCAATAGAACTTTTTTCAAAATGAGTCACTTGCCACGCACGTCAGGTTGAATCAAGGGGCAAATATGAAAAAAAACAAAATGAGAAAATTGTAGTAATGGTCCTTCAACTTTAACTCAAATCAATGGTTCATCAATTTTAACCCAATTAGAGAAATGGTCATTCAACTTTAACCCAATTGTAGTAATGGTCATTCCAATATAACTCATTTTGACGGATTTATGACAGAGTTGACGAAATAGACCATAAATGCATGTTTTGATAAATTAAAGGACCAATAATCATGAAGAAGCTAATGCTCCAATTAAGTTATAATTAAAGAACCACTGCTATAATTTTCTCGGCCCAGAAAGTCTTTGCATGGATATTGGATTGTATTAGCTCAAGCCCATCTATGTCCGATGATTATTCTTCTGGGCCACGCGCTTCTCTAATACTATACAAACTAAACTGAGCCGCATCAGACGCTTCAATTTTTTCAATTTTGAGGTTTGAAATCGATCCAAGAGCTGAGATATCTTATCCATATAATCTGGATCAAGACTCGCCTAGAGCTGAAAGATCTCATCATCTTCAGCTCGTTTCAAGAGAGTTGTAGCATTTGTGGTGCGAGGCCACATACTTTTGAGAGATGTTGAATGAAGGGTTTGCCGTTTCAACAGCTCGCTGCAATGTTAAGACATGGAACTTTCTATGAAGATTCACCCATTGGAATTCCCCTTTCCGTAGCTTAAATGAATTTAACATACATTTATCCTATCATGTGTCAACAAAAATAACCGTAGTTGGAGTCAACAGAATGTTTGCATACTTGTGAATTCATACATTTAATCTAGGAAGGTATTCAATTCAATGTAATCATGGCCGCCTTTGATATTTTAGTACTTCGTATTTCTTTTCTTTTCAAAGTTTAACTAAGGTTCAACGCCGGAATAAGAGGATGAGAGTCGAATTTTCGTCAATATTTGCAATTACGTAACCATGATTTTATTCCCCTTCCTCATACTGGGAAATAACATTCTTCTTCAAGTACATGCCATACACCTTATACACAGAAAATCAGAATATAGATATTGATATTACTTGCTACCCAAGAAATTAGAGCTCTGCTTCTGTTTCCTTCTGCTGGTCCACATCTTCTGCATTTTTTGGTAGCTCATCTTCTGGCTTTTTCTGGTCAGCATCTTCCGGCTTCGTAACAGGAAAATTATGCTTGACCCAAGCAAGATAGCCTCCTCCCATGTTGCTCACATGCTCGAAACCCTATCATTTCATTGACAATCTTCTAAGAATTTGATAGAAATGAAAGAACAAACATGAACACGGTGAAAGGTGGGATCATATGCACAAACAAAACCGGTTACAAACTTTTACTAAAAACATAAAGTCGGGGGACACTAAACAGGGGTTTTTATAAGGCTTATTGTCGGTTTAGTGATCCCCAAATATGCACAAATCGAAACAGATTTGAGAATACGAACAGCAGCCTGAAGATCAGCAGTTGCATAAAGGGATCTGACACCACTTTGACAACCCTGTAAATATAATATCAGTCAGATATTTACCAGAAATATTCTTAGTAAAACGCTACAAGATAAACCATGAAAGTGGACAGTAAAAAAATTACCACAACAAGAAGGTCATCTTTTTTGCAAGCAGATGAAACCTCTTCCAAAAACTGGGGATTTTTCACCCTTCCTAGGTAAAAGAACACATCAAATTCATTACTTTCAAGGTAAATACGAATAAAAAGTAGTGAAAACAGAAGTTACAGCCACCTTCAGGTGTATTGAACATGTAAGGAATGTTCAAAATCTTATTTGCATCCACATGCCCTTTCTTGTACTCCTCCTCCGTCCTATTACAAATAACATAAATTAAAAACCCAATTGAAAAGTTTGAACTTAGGCCATTTGAGTTTGTTTGTGTAGGAAGTCCTTCTACTCATAAACGCTTTTACCATAAGTGCACTAGTAGAAACACGTTGAAATTTTTATTAAAATTAAAGTAATCCTAATAAAGCAATTGGAAGTACTTAGAGAATGCGCTCCTTTGTAACACTTTTAAGTATGCAGGAGTGTTTCTAGTTGTCAGAAAACGCTTTTAACTTTTATAGAAGCAGTCCATAATGTGCTGTTACTCTCATAAAGTTCACTAATTTGAGAAAAAAATAAGGAAAAAATAAACCGGAAAGATAGTTCTTTACCTAACTTCCAAATAACCATAGCCAGATTCGAGCAGATGTTTGGCTTCTTGAACATCAACGGTGACAACCTCCGATCCCGAGCTGCAACATAACAGAACAACAATAAAAAACAAACCCAGAAAGCCACCCAGCAAACCAAGAAAACCCCATATAAGAATTTTGGAAAAATAAAATTTAGAAATTAATTTTACTGCAAATCTGGATAGAAAAAGTCACCTTCCAAAAGAACCCATGAGGAAGAACTGCTGTTATATAAGTAGCTCTGGTTTTTGTGGGATCTGGTGGCTGTCTGGTTAATTTTCCCGGAAAAACCAGCTGAGGATAGAAAATGTGGGATGGGAGGAATTTAGTTCTTTTTTTGGTGGGGAAGAGTGCCTATAGATAGGGAGCTAGCTAATTGCAGTTCCAGTCACGTAGGGCCACACAACATCATGCCAACCAATGATGAGAACCCACCTTTGATGTGAACATGACCGCATTCATGGCTTATGTACAATAGTGGGTTATGTATGTTAACACTTTATGATAAATTTTTTGTACATAATGTTGGTTCTTTTTTAAACGGACAACTAAAATTTGAAAGAGATTAGTTAGTCAATAATTGAAATCCTAGTTTGAAAAAGGTTAGTAGAAATGAGATTTTCTTAACATCATTTGGTATCGCTTGAACTCAAAATGTGTTCTATTTCTTGAATCTTAATCCTACTAGTCCCATTCGATTCTAGAAACATTTTCTTTTAACGAGTTATTTCTGTATGTGCGTCAAACTATGATTCACATAATTATTGTTATTTAGGAAATTATTATTAGCACTCAAAAAATCTCATTTGACACTCCAAATTTTTTATAATTAGAAAGAAAAATACACTTGTGAACAGTGTAAAATGAGATTTTTGAAGTGCTAATAACAATTCTCATTATTTATTGTAATATAATTATGCAGTTATTCAACCAACACACTTGAGAACCATTTTTTTTTTCACAAACGATAGAGTTAGTAGGTCAAATTGTTAGTTGTTGAAGGAGAGCATAATCGTTGGGGATCGAACCTGCAACAAGGTGCATATGCATCATTGCTTTGTGCTACTGCTGTAAAGTGCCATCTGACTTTGAAGAATGGATTTGGCCTTTGTGCAATCCACATCCACATCCACTAATCAATTTCTAATAGGGAAAATTGCTCAAAATGCTATTTTATTAAAGTAGATTTCGAAATTAATGTTGCTAAACTCTTGGACTACATGCTTTGTATTGCATAGAAGTCGACTACTACACTAGATACAATTACACCTAAATTATATATATACAATAGTGAAAATCCTAATGGGGCATGATAAGTGAATTTTATATTATATATTTAACCTTATTCTTAATATATTTTGGTTAATATTTTGGAAGAATTTTGATACTTTGAATTGTATTTTCAATATAGGACTTTCGACTTCCTCTGGAGCAAAACGTGGTCAAGTGGACGAATTTTGGAGTAATTCCAGTTAGAAGACGTTCATGAGTCACTTAGCTTGGTCGTATCAAAATTTGGGATTTTTCCATCAAGTGGTTATTTTCTGGCGATAAAATAAAGGAGCGATGCGCGGTGCTGGAAAATAACGTTTCTGGGCTTAAATTGCATTTTTGGAGCCCAAGATGACCTCGGATGGTTTCGTGGCCTTCTGGAGATGTGTTCGGAAGGTCCTTATCTTTAAAACAAGCTATCTTGGGTCGGATTTGGAGGAGATCTGAGGCTAAAACCTGGCTGGACAAGTACTTGGCAGATTCTCCTAGTTTAATTAGGGTTTTATTTTCTAAGATATTTTATTATTTTTCTTAGTTTCCTAGTTGGAATAAGAAACTTATGTCTTAGGGTTTGTGAGGGCGGAGCAAATATATTGCTTTGGCCGTCTACAATTTTTCTCGACGCTTATTATTATTCAACTTCAAAGACAAAGAACTTGGCTAGGGTTCTTGGAGATTTTATACTTCAAGGTGCTTTCATTCCTTTTATTTGTAATAATATTTTCTATGATTTCAATTATGAATATGCATAACTAATTCCTTTTGCTAGGGCGAAATCTTAAGCCTTAGCATGAATATGTAATTTTTTATTTAATTGCTTATGATTGATTGCATGCACACTTTGAATTATTGATCACTGTTTTAAACTATCTAATTATCTTGATGATTGGCCACCATTAGGATGTTTAGACAAGTAATTGGATGCAATTCGGTCAGAATATCACCGGAGGATTGAGTATTGCTTCTTGTGATTGAAAATTGTAATTCCATCTAAGACGAATATCACGTTCTTAGGGGTTGCATGGTTCTTCAAAAGGTTTTCATAAAACTTAATGAGTCTTGCATGTTCATATTTGATCTGAATATCACAGACGAATTGCATGTTAGATATACGTTCTTGCTTGAATATCATGAGGAGAATATATATTAGGAAAACCTAACCTTCAAAGTAGCATGTGTAAATCGTAAGTAATTGGTAGAAATTCATAGGATTGCTAGGTGATGGTGGAACCCTAGTGCCTTTATAAATTGGTATTTAAAACTCTTTTCTTCGATTATTTTAGTTTTTGTTTAAAATTCATTTTTAATATTACCCATTCTCAAACTCTCTTTTCTCAAGTTTTAATTCTAAGTATTTAATTAGGAATTGTTTCTACACAAATTATCCAAATAGTCATTGAGGAAAACGACCTTGCATGAGCATCTATACTACAATATCTTTGTATTCTTGCAAGTATTTCATGTGATTTTGACCCTATTTGCATAGACGTTAAAAATCCTATCAAGAAATTGGCGCTGCTGCCGGGAACTATTTTAGATCATTTTTGTTTAAACTTTTTCTGATTATTTTTTTTATATTATTTTTCGTCAAAAAAAAATCAATTTATTTTAACGCTTTTGTGTTATTGCAGATTCTGTAAACTGCATGGTCCAGACCAGATCAGGAACTACCCAGATTGCACAGTTTGATCCAGAACCCGATCGCACACTGCATAGACAGAGGAGAGAAAATAATTTGGTTTGGGACGGTGAACTGCAAGGCACATTTCTGCAAGAATTGTTTGCTGGTTTTGTAGATGATAAAATCACAATGGCATTGCAATTGCCTGCTGCAGGCAGGCCACTCAGAGAGTCATTGGCTGCCCGAGCTAATGATGTTCCTAATTGTATTGTATATCCTGCCCAGGAAGATGGCGATTCATTTGAGATCAAGCACCATATGCTTGAAATTTTACCTACTTTTCGTGGGCTGCCTAACGAGGATGCGAATTTACATGTTGCAAAATTTATCGTGGGTTGCAAAAATATCTTGATCAGGGGTTTTTCTGCTGAGGCTATTAAGTTACGTCTTTTTCCTTTTACTTTGAAGGATAAGGCTGAAACTTGGTTATTCACTTTACCAGCTAATAGCATTACTACTTGGCAACAATTGCATACAAGATTCCTGAACAAATATTATCCGGCATCCAAGACATTGAATTACAAGCGGGAGATTATGACATTCACTCAAAAGCCAAACGAAGAATTTCATGAAGCATGGGAGAGATATACAGAGATGTATATAAAATGTCCACATGTTAATATTGATCCAGATACACAAATGAATATTTTCTTTGATGGGCTTAATCCTACATCCAAAAGCCATGTTAATGCATTAGCTGGGGGTTCATTATCAAATAAATCTGCAAGAGAAGCATTTGAATTATTTGATACAATGGCTACAGAATCTCAACAATGGGCAGCAGAACATTCACAAAAAGGGGCATTTTTGAGTTATCAGCAGGTTCTCCTAATATGTTTGCACAAATGGAAAAGATGGAGAAGAAAATTGATGCCAAGTTTGATATTATTCTACAACAGATAGCAAATTCTACACAGCAGCAGCCACCTGCAGCAACAGTTTGCACTATCTGCAGCATGGCTACACACAACATATTGGGTTGTCCACATAAAGAATCTTACCCAGAGCTTGTGGAGCAACATGTTAATATGATGAACAGCTATCAAAGGCCTAGAAATGATGCATATGCAACTCATTACAATCCAGGATGGAGGGATCATCCTAATTTCAAATGGGGTGATAATCAGAATAATTCAAAACCATTCCAGCATGTACAAAAACCTTTTGTGCCATCAAAACCATCCTTGGAAGATCAACTTTCTAAACTGGCAGCTACAACACAAACATTCATAGAAGGCAGCAATCAAAGAATTCAAAATGTTGAAGCATCAATTAAAAGTTTGGAGCAACAATTTGGGCAGCTAGCTGCACAGATTTCAGACAGAGAAAAAGGCAAATTTCCTAGTCAAACAGTGCCTAATCCAAGAGGACATGAAGACTGCAATGTTGTTCGGACTTTACGGTGTGGAAAAAGTTATGACAATCGTGCAAACTGTACTGAACAGAATCTGCATGTAGTGCCAATTACTGCAGAATCTGAAATGCCAGCAGCAGAACCTGACAAATCTGCAGAAAAACAGAATCTGCACAGTACAGAAACAGTCCCAAAACAGATTTCTCAGCGTGTTTATGACCCTCCACTGCCTTACCCTGAACGTGTAATTCCTAAAGCAAGAGATCAGCAACTCAAAGATTTCATGCAGACATTATCCAAGGTTCAAATCAACATTCCATTGCTGGATGCAATCAAGAAAATACCATCATATGCCAAATTTCTGAAAGAGGTTTGCAGCAGCAAAAAGAAGCTTGCAGATTTGGACAAAGTTGTTTTGACAGAACAGTGCAGTGCAATTTTGCTACACAAACTACCACCTAAAAAAAAAGATCCAGGGAGTTTTAATATTTCTTGTACTATTGGAAACTCTGATTTTAAAAGTGCTTTAATTGATTTGGGTGCGAGTATTAATTTGATGCCTTTTTCTGTTTTCTAGCGATTGGGACAAGGAGATTTAAAGCCTACATCAATTATACTTCAACTAGCTGACCGTTCAATCACTTATCCAAGAGGTGTTATTGAAGATCTTATTATTAAGGTTGATAATCTTTATCTACCGGCGGATTTTGTGGTTTTAGACATGGATGAAGACCTTCAAACACCTATCATTTTGGGGAGGCCGTTTATGGCAACAACTAGGACTTTAATTGATGTGGAAGCTGGAACGCTAACTTTACGAGTTCAAGACCAATATGTGGTATTTAATTTGTTTGAGGCAGCAAAACGTCCTGCTGAACAGCAAGATTGTATGCGCATTGATGTGTTAGACAGTATGGTTCAAGATAGTTTTTATGCCCGTTCAAATACAGATCAGTTGCTGCACATTTACAAGGGGAAATTGGGACAAATTCTGCAGATAAAGGTGTTCTTGAGTACATTCACGCATTAGACAGTCTGCCCACACAGTTGCCAAGGTTTAGAAATGTTTACGAGAGCTTAGGGGTGCCAAAACAGCCCCTTAAGCCGTCCAGACAGCAGCCACCAAAATTAGAGCTGAAGCCCTTACCAGAACATTTAAAATATGCACATTTAGGGGCTGCAGAAACGCTGCCGGTTATAGTTGCAGCTGATTTAACTCCCACAGAGGAAGATAAATTGCTTCGTGTTTTGAGGAAATATCAAGATGCACTAGGATGGACAATTGCCGACATCAAGGGTATTAGCCCAGCAATCTGTATGCACAGAATTTTAATGGAAGACGACGTGAAGCCAACAGTTGATGCTCAACGCCGCCTTAACCCAATTATGAAAGAGGTGGTTAGAACAGAGGTTATGAAATTACTTGATGCAGGTATGATTTATCCTATTTTAGACAGTAAATAGGTGAGTCCTACGCAGGTTGTTCCTAAACGTACTGGCATGACAGTAGTTAAAAATGACAACAATGAGCTTATTCCTACGCGCTTAACTACAGGCTGACGTATGTGTGTGGATTATAGGAAGCCAAATGCAGGTACACGAAAAAACCATTTTCCTCTACCGTTTACTGACCAAATGTTAGAAAGATTGGCTGGCAGGGCTTTTTATTGTTTCTTGGATGGCTATTCTGGGTACAATCAGATTCCAATTGCACCAGAGGATCAAGAGAATACAACATTTACATGCCCATTTGGGACATTTACCTATCGAAGGATGCCATTTGGATTATGCAATGCACCCGCCACTTTTCAGCGTTGTATGATGAGTATATTTTCTGGCTTGGTTGAAAGAATTGTGGAAGTTTTTATGGATGATTTTTCTGTGTTTGGAGATTCATTTGATCAGTGCCTACATAATTTGTCATTAGTTCTTGAGAGATGTCAAGAAACAAATTTAGTGCTGAATTGGGAAAAGTGTCATTTTATGGTGAAACATGGAATTGTTTTGGGTCATTCAATTTCTAGCAAAGGCATTGAAGTTGACAAAGCTAAAATTGATGTGATTGCAAAGTTGCCACCCCCTACATCAGTAAAAGGTGTTAGATCGTTTTTGGGACATGCAGGATTTTATCGTTGGTTTATCAAGGATTTCTCCAAGATCAGCCGATCTTTGTGCAATTTATTGGCTAAAGATGCACCATTTAACTTCGATGAGGCTTGCTTAGAAGCGTTCAACAAGTTGAAATCACTCATAACTTCGGCACCCATCATTGCTGCACCAGATTGGGGTTTACCATTTGAATTAATGTGTGATGCTTCAGATTATGCTGTTGGGGCAGTTTTAGGACAGCGGAAAGACAAGCTTCCCCATGTCATTTATTATGCAAGTCGTACACTCAATGATGCACAACTCAACTATGCTACCACAGAGAAAGAATTGTTGGCAGTTGTGTTTGCATTAGAGAAGTTTATGTCTTATTTGGTTGGGGCTAAGATAATTGTTTATACGGATCATGCTGCATTAAAATACTTGTTGTCTAAGAAGGATGCAAAGCCTAGGTTGATACGTTAGGTTCTTTTACTTCAAGAATTTGACCTCGAGATTAAAGACAAGAAAGGCAGTGAAAATGTGGTGGCTGACCATTTATCCAGATTAATTATTCCAGCAGCTAAGGAGGCAGATTCTCTACCATTGAGTGAGAGTTTTCCAGATGAGCAGCTCTTTGCTGCCCAAATTAATACACCCTGGTTTGCTGATCTTGTTAATTATTTGGCTACGGGTGTTGTGCATCCCGATTTTTCATTTCAGCAGAAAAAGAAGTTTTTGTCTGATGTCAAGCATTATTTCTGGGATGAACCATACTTGTATAAGTATTGTCCCGACCAGATTATTCGCAGGTGCATTCTTGAGATTGAACAAGACAGTGTTTTGCGTTTTGCTCATCAGTATGCATGTGGGGGACATTTTGGACAGAAAAGGACAGCAGAGAAAATTCTGCAAAGTGGGTTGTTTTGACCTACATTATCTAAAGATGCAAATAATTGGTGCAGAGCTTGTGACAGGTGTCAAAGAGTCGTCAACCAATCCAAGAGGAATGAGATGCCCCAGCAAAGTATTCTAATTGTTGAGTTATTTGATGTTTGAGGTATTGATTTCATGGGACCATTCCCATCATCTCACGGGAATCAGTACATTTTAGTTGCTGTGGAATATGTTTCTAAATGGGTTGAGGCCCAATGTTTGTTTTCCAAGTTTTTGTCTATATGCTCGGTCGTTGGTCACGGGCCTCCTTTTTGGACTACAAATTTTTTTTTTTGAGCATTTCTTTGATGCTTTCCTGTACCAGGTTCGACCCCACCCAGGTGTGTCTCCCCCCATTTCTCATTCTTTTATTTGTCTTTGTGTATCCTTTCATTGTTTGTCTGCTTTGTTTTTTTTTAATTCCTTTTCTATTTTTCATTTCGTTTTCTCCCTCCTTCCAGTCGCTTAGGATTGCTGTTGACTTCTCTTTGGATGTTTCCGTTTAGTTTTATTTTATTTTCCACACCTTGAGGACAAAGTGTGAAATAAGTTTGGGGGTGGGAAAAATTTAGGATTTTTATTTTTGTGTCAGTTAAATTTTTTCGTTTTTAAGTTAATATTCATAGATTATTTTAAACATTAAAACAAATGGACATGGTAAAGATTAATCCCACAGTAGAGTCTTTTCTATTTATTGTTACTTAGACACCAATTCACGAATTATACTTTGACAATTGCACATTCACACCAACATGATTTGTGGGGAGTGAGATTGAAACACTTGCTTTTTGTCTAAGTGTATTGTTATTGTTATTTTTGTTCTAAATAAAGTAAAGTTAGTATGTGTTATAAAGTAATAATTGTCTCACCCGAGGTTCTGCCTAGTAACCGGGCCAGTCCTGCCTAATTAGCAGTGATTCTCGCGTCAAACGGTAGAGTTTTGGCATGAGGCAGGGTGGTTAGTTGGTTTTGTAGCCTTTTCAGCTCGGGTTAATAAGTTCTTAGGGGTGTTCCACACCTAGTGCCCTAAAGCCCTAGTGGTTTGGGAGTCATTGACTTAAAGCTCGCTACATGGGTTGGATAGAAAGCTTAAGGGAACCGACATTGTACGACCACTACTGTTACTTTAAAAAAAATAATAAATAAATAAAAAAAAAACTCGAAAAGAAGAAAAGAAAATATATGAAGTTAGTATGTGAAGTATGAATAAAGGGATGAGAGGTAAGAGTTTTGGTCGAGTCTCTTTAACTATGTTGGTTCACTTTACACCAAAGGAAGTTTGTGAATTCTTTTCTAATTGATTCTAAATGGCTTAGACTCTGTGGTGGGATTGGTTGGAACTTTTGAAAAGATGTTCTGATTTTTAACATTTTCTATGGATTGCAACTTGAAAGTGAGAATTTTGTTTGAGCTAAGTTTTAGTTAAGTGTCCAGTTTGTTAGTTTTTATTTTTATTTTCTAGTCTTGTTTTGCTTGAGGATAAGCAAAATGCTAAGTTTGGGGGTATTTTGATAAGTGAATTTTATATTATATATTTAACCCTATTCTTAGTATATTTTGGTTAATATTTTGGAAGAATTTTGATACTTTGAATTGTATTTTTAATATAGGACTTTCGACTTCCTCTGGAGCAAAACGTGGTCAAGTGGACGAATTTTGGAGTAATTTCAGTTAGAAGACGTTCGTGAGTCACTTAGCTTGGTTGTATCAAAATTTGGGATTTTTCCATCAAGCGGTTATTTTCTGGCGATAAAATAAAGGAGCGATGCGCGGTGCTGGAAAATGACGTTTCTGGGCTTAAATTGCGTTTTTGGAGCCCAAGATGACCTCGGATGGTTTCGTGGCCTTCTGGAGATGTGTTCGGAAGGTCCTTATCTTTAAAACAAGCTATCTTGGGCCGGATTTGGACGAGATCTGAGGCTAAAACGTGGCTGGACAAGTACTTGGCAGATTCTCCTAGTTTAATTAGGGTTTTATTTTCTAGGATATTTTATTATTTTTCTTAGTTTCCTAGTTGGAATAAGAAACCTATGTCTTAGGGTTTGTGAGGGCGGAGCAAATATATTGCTTTGGCTGTCTACAATTTTTCTCGACCCTTATTGTTATTCAACTTCAAAGACAAAGAACTTGGCTAGGGTTCTTGGAGATTTTATACTTCAAGGTGCTTTCATTCCTTTTATTTGTAATAATATTTTCTATGATTTCAATTATGAATATGCATAACTAATTCCTTTTGCTAGGGCGAAACCTTGAGCCTTAGCATGAATATGTAATTTTTATTTAATTGCTTATGATTGATTGCATGCACACTTTGAATTATTGATCACTGTTTTAAACTATCTAATTATCTTGATGATTGGCCACCATTAGGATGTTTAGACAAGTAATTGGATGCAATTCGGTCAGAATATCATCGGAGGATTGAGTATTGCTTCTTGTGATTGAAAATTGTAATTCCATCTAAGGCGAATATCACATTCTTAGGGGTTGCATGGTTCTTCAAAAGGTTTTCATAAAACTTAATGAGTCTTGCATGTTCATATTTGATCTGAATATCACAGACGGATTGCATGTTAGATATACGTTCTTGCTTGAATATCACGAGGAGAATATATATTAGGAAAACCTAACCTTCGAAGTAGCATGTGTAAATCGTAAGTAATTGATAGAAATTCATAGGATTGCTAGGTGATGGTGGAACCCTAGTGCCTTTATAAATTGGTATTTAAAACTCTTTTCTTCGATTATTTTAGTTTTTGTTTAAAATTCATTTTTAATATTACCCATTCTCAAACTCTCTTTTCTCAAGTTTTAATTCTAAGTATTTAATTAGGAATTGTTTCTACACAAATTATCCAAATAGTCCTTGAGGAAAACGACCTTGCATGAGCATCTATACTACAACATCCTTGTATTCTTGCAAGTATTTCATGTGATTTTGACCCTATTTGCATAGACGTTAAAAATCCTATCAGGGCAAAAGACACCTGAGCTTCAAGCAACACATGCAGATTTGCAGAGGATCATTAAACTTTTTGTCCCTGTTTGCTGAGCTAGTGATTCATATGAACGGGTTTGCGTAGGAGAGCGCTGATCAATCTTTGTATTCAAGTTGCGTTGAAGACTTACGCCTTCACGGAAACTTTGAAGCAGCAGCTGTTACTGGTATTTTCATGGCAGTGCAGACATATATCATCCTTATGTCTCTTCAATCCACGCGATGGAACACATTCGGGTGGAGTTATGGATGTTCACAATAAACAGGAGGAACACTGAAAAGAAACCATAACACAACGTTGGATGTAAGTATAGCAATGGTGTTAATGACGGAACAAGCCTCACAGACTCAAAGGGAGGATCATGACTAGCAAGCATTTGAAAACCGAAAGGAATTGCTTATATAGATTTGAAAATAATTTTTGCTTTGATTTTGGCATCTGTTTCACCAAAATGGCCGATGAAATGGTCAACTGGCAACAGAGACACTCTTTCAAAGGGCGTGACCAATTCCAGCCACTCCAATCCGACAAACCATCTCGTTCACAAAAAGGTTATTCATCCTTTTGCTGAAATACGAGGTTAAAACATTTTTTTTTTATCAAAACAAATTCAAACTTTAAAATAACTAATCTCGATACCTTGAAAGTCATATTTTCTATTCACTAATTGTATAACCAGGATTTTCTCTTGATCTGCAAGAAGAGAGTACCCAAAATTTCAGTATAACAATAAAAGTAACCCCATAACCTGAGCAATTCAAACACTAAAAAAGAATCAGCCATCAAACATGAACAAGTGAGGATGGACCCAATTCTCTTACCTCAGCAGTCGCAATTTTCTTTCGTATATCATGCTTGCACACTGGGCAGTTTCTTCCCCATTTTCTCAGCCATGAATCCACACAACTTGAATGAAATTCTGCAAGCAGATCTCAAGCTGATTAACAGAAATCTACAAACTTCGAATGACAAGGCGAGGAATTAAATCTAAACTACGAAATCACCCTTTTGATTTAGGCCAAAGTCAATTGCCTAATACGACGATAGTCATTTCACGTCCCTAACCTTTGAGGCTATAATCAACATTAGAATTTAACAGCATTTGAACAATCAAACCGTTAACATGATATATCTACTTATATGTACTTTATAGTGGACATGGCGAGAATAGCAGCTTCTTTGAGTTCTTTCTTCTTAGACTGGACACGGTATTCTAATATTTGTGATGAGAACTTGCACATGTCCGCAATATGAAAGTACATACCTCGAGTTCTTCTACAATGTAATTTATGAACAATTGGAAGTCTTCTGAGGTATCATAAAGGTAGGAGGAAAACATATACTATTATGTCTACAAGTAAGACTTTGTGGCTTGATGAAACTGACACCGCAACTATGATGAAATGCAAGGGATATAAGCATGAGGGAACATCTTATAACTTACCATGCTGGCAGGGAAGAACTTTAAGAATTTCGGAATCTTTGTAGTTCTCAAGGCAGATGGCACAAGTTTCTTCAGTGTGGCATTCATCCAAACCAGCAGAACTGAATGTGAAGCAAGGGAGAGCATCCACAATCTTGGTATCCGCACTTTTAGGAAGCTGGTTTCTTCCTTGAGAATAGGGCCAGCGCCAGTCTCTCCGAGCACAGTTGGCAATTATAAGGAGACCCAATACGGTTAGAAATGAGATCAAAGATACAGCAAACACCAACCAGGCCTTTTCATTTGGCAATAGGAAGATGCAGCATTCCCCTTCTTCTCCACGAGCATGCTCCTTTAGCATTTCACCAGATGCTTTCGAAACAAATACAGAACGAATTGTAACATTCTTGCTGTTTATCATCACTGAAAAAAGAGGACAAAAATCATTATAAATTATAACAGCCTCAACGAATATCCACAATTTCACAGCACGCAAAGGGTAACATGTACAGCAGACTTGGACTCCAATACAATCTTCAACGACATAGGAGCAGCCATAACTACATATGAAACGAGCAAGGAAAATGTAAAAGAAGTAAACAGAAATTTCAAGGGACACGGTCACTCACTGTGAACCAATTTTTCTTTTCTATCATCATAAACAATCACAGCATGAAATCCGGCATCTTGAGCGTGTTGCACTTTATCCTCGAAAGTGCATTCACCTCTTTCTACTAAAGCAAACCTCGTTATATCAGTTTCACTTGCTTGAATACCATTGCGTAGAGGCGAGCAGGCATGCAAAGGGTCGGATACAAGCAAAACTCCACATATTTCAGAGCTACTGACAGGACCAGCTATCACAGCATTCAGATTTCAATGATTAGTAAAAGCGTTTCGTCGAAAAGCGAATTAAGTCCAAATATAATCCTGAAAGTAAAGGGATAATATGATTTTGTTGTTTCATTTAGAGCCCGTTCGACAACCGTTTCAGTTTTTTACTTTCCCAAAACCTGTTTGGCAACATTTTCTAGTTTTCAATTTTCAACTAAAATTTGAAAGCTACTTTTGCGAGTTTTCAATTTTTGGTTTTGTTAAACTGGAAACAGTTGCCAAACTGAAAACGAAATGGTTATCAAACACCTTAGCTTAACCAAAACCCCAAAAATCGTAATTCATTTAATTCAAATCGAAAGCTGATGCCAGCTGAAGAAAACAAAAGGAAGGAAATTTATTAGACTAGTTATACCAGATTTTCTCAGCAACCAAACAGCAAAAGATGGAAAGTTACCAAATTTGGCGGGAAGGTCGGCGACAAGAATTCCAGATGGTTGGAGAACAACATTAGCAGAGCTTAGTTGGAGAAGGAAAAAACAAGCAATCATAGAGAATCCCACTACAGCTTGGCCCATCTTCCTCTCTCTCTCTCTCTCTCTCAGCTCCAAATTACCTAAATTAAACACCAAATTAATTTAAAAATTAATCAAAATTTAGTTTAACCAATTAGTGATTAAATAAACCAAAAATTGAAAGCAAAAATAGAAAATAAAAAAAAGGGCATACCGGTTTAGTGAGCTTATGAGATTGGCGAGACCGAAAAACCCCAGAAGCAAGTGGTGAGCTGAAAAATGCCAAAGTTTCCAACTTGTCAGCAGTATTTTTCTAATTTATTTGATCCATACGGTGCCGTTTCGAGTTTTAACCTAAAGCGCCGCGTTTGATCAGTAACCGTTAAACCGCCAGAGTTAAAATTGCTTTGGTTTTCAGCACTGATTTGATTTAGGCGCATTCTTAATAATTTTTATCCGTTGCTTCTTCAATTCATCTGATAAGGATTCGACGTGATCATGGAGTGCCGGCTGTCGACTATCTGACGCCTTCCCTTTCTCTTTTATCCGGCTTAGGACCGGCAATATAAGATAAACTTACACGGGGAGTTGATTTATTTGTTGAAGCTTTGGAATCTGTCTGCGAATTTCATGGAAGAAGAAGAAGAAGCTTCGAAGCCGGCGCTGCCGGACGCCTTCCTCGATTTTCTGAAGGAGAACGGGTTGGACCCTTCCATTTATTCCGAGAGCCACTCGACCCCTCGTTACATAAGGTGCTAGTAATACTCTCTATGAATTTTTTCGAGAGAGAATGTGAACTAAATTAACTGGTTACGAGCTTTTAATAAAAATTTAGAATGGGATGAATGTTATACAGACAAGAAATTATAATTTAGTATTTTTATAGCATGTTTAATGTTTCGGTTTAATTTTTGATTAAAAGTTTGTAACTTCGTTGATTTGAGCATGTTTACCTTGCTAGTTTTTGTTTGTGTTTTTATAATGGAAGAATTGGGGTTTGATGGGTTTTGTTTGTTTTGGCTTGAAGGTTAAAGCCTGGTTTGGAAGCTCGAATCGAAGAGATTGAAGCTGAGATCAAGTGGAAGCTTGAAGAAGTGGAATGGTTGCCTGGATTTTATGCTCTTCCGCCGGATGTACAGATTGCTAACTCAAACGCTTACCGGGAAGGGAAGGTGAGGGGGAAAATTGAGCAGTTGGGGTGTTTGTTATTTTACCTTTTCTGGCAAGAAAGTCCCCCGAGTTTTGATTTCGAGATTTTGTGTTTGTGTTTGTTTGATTTGGATTTTTAGATATATGGAATCGACGCGGCGTCTGGTGCTGCTGTTTCAGCATTGGATATCTCAGCTGGAGATCATGTTCTTGACCTTTGTGCTGCTCCTGGTAAGTGGTTTCTGGTTCCTGTTTGTTACTATTATAGATTGCGTCGAATTGGAGTGAATGATTTCGTATTGTTGCAGGATGAGAAAATGCAACCAATTCTTGAGCCTGCTATGGTTAAAGTAATTATGTAGTCTGATTCTAAAACATGAATAGTAGCGAAATTGCAACAACACCTGTAGAAGTTTGTTAAATTTTATAAAATGGCAAGAAAAACAAAGAGATATTTACCGTTTATAGTGTTTCAGAAGCATCCGTACAAAATGTTTTTGACAACCTTCGTGTGAGAACATCAGATTCAGTTACACTGATAACTTTCATTTTCTGAAAATGGCTCACCATGTTTTCTCTCGTGTATATTTTGGCATTAGGTGCTAAGCTTTGTATGATATCCGACCTTCTTGGTGATTCGGGTTCTGTAACTGGTGTTGACGTTTCAAGCCATCGTTTAGCAGCCTGTAGGACAATGTTGCAGAAATATGCATTGGGCAATCACTGCCGACTATTTGTTGCTGATGGGACAAATTTTTCCCTCATACCCAGGAGAGTTCATTCAGATCCAAAATCATGTAACTGATCTGAATCCACATATACCTGAAGCTTCATATGCAATACAGTGAAATCTTTGAGAATGCTATTTACGGGCATATTGTTGTTTTTAATACGTTATCATTCTATCTAGAATCTTGCAGGTGAATCTGCTTTGGAAGAGAATGTGACATTCAAGGAGTGGACATCTAGGAGACCATGGAAAGAAAGGAAACAAGCAGCTAGGATAAGAAAAAGTGGTGCCGTGCCGTCAGGGAATCAACTTCCAGACCTCATTTATTATGGCTGCCACTCTGGTGTGGTTGGACTGACTAAAAGTGAATTATACCAAACTTTTCGTGACGACGAATATTTGAGCTATGGCTATGACAAGGTAATACTGCATTTTGGTTCTTTATTTAAACCCCTTTACAGATCTCTTCACTCTCTATTTCCGTACTTTTTTGGACAACTACTAACACCCTTTCAATATCAGTTATGTTACCTCTTTGTTGTTTAACATCAATTCTAGTTTTGTTGGATTTTGCTAAGTTAGCTGGATGTTTATTCAGGTCCTAGTGGATGCAGAGTGCACTCATGATGGATCCATTAAACATGTCCAGAAATTCGAACGGTGGGGCTGGGAAACTCTTCAACGCCGTGTACTGGATGCCGAGAGAAGTGATGGCCTCACTGTGCTTCAGGTATCTGATTTCGGTTTCTTTCAAATGTATTTGCGAACTTTGCTACTTTGCTTATTGTTGAAGTTTCATTAGATGAGGAAACAACATTTCAGTATCAATCCAATGTAGTTTTGTATATGATTATTACTTCGCTATTGTAATTTTTCCCACGTGCATTTCATGGCAGAGCTTCCTTATACATCGTCCCCTTTGACTGATAAAAATGCTTAGTAAAGTGATGACTATATCTGTCTTTGGCTTGCAGTTGAAGCTCCTAACAAATGGTTTTCGGTTGCTAAAAGCTGGGGGGATTCTTGTTTATAGCACTTGCAGGTGCCTTTTGTAGTTTGCTCCTTTTAACTTTTAGCACGTTACGCATAAAGGATATCTGCCTCTATTTTGCTAATTTTCGTTTTCTATTGATTAGTTTGACAGTTGCTCAGAACGAAGACGTGGTAAGGCAGTTTCTCGAGGGAAATCCTTGTGCAGGTAAATTAACGGTTTTGAGTATTTTACAGCCTGCAATTTATGAGTATGGTGACTATTAAATGACTGAGTATCATTTTACCTGTAGCGGAATGGCTAATCAAAATTGGTTTACCTTTCATGATGGTTTAAGTACATTGTGTTTTCATTACCTTTTTTCATAAAGAAACCAGAAAATAATAACTGATCTGAATAATCCTCACCATCATCGGCTCTATTTGTTTGAAAAACTCATAAATCTGTTAATCCCGTACTATCTAACATTATGAGCCGAAGTTGTTTCTGCTACATTTTCCTCCTCGAGGTTGCTCTTGCATCTGTAGTTCTTACTCTATAAGCAACTCGTCATTATATCAGAGTCTAATCATATCATTTTACACTTTTATGGGCTTGTGGTTCACCGGTTCCTTCTTATTCCGCAGAATTGCAGGTGATAGATGCTGCTGAAAATTGGCCTTGCAAGAACGGGCGGGTACCAAATACCCTGCGCTTTGATCCCTTGACTTCAAAAACGAGCGGACTGTTTGTCGCAAAGTTCTCGAAATTGACCATTTAATCAAGTTTTCGTTGTACTACATTTTCTTTTCGTTTCTTGAAACTGTTGAGTAGTTCCGACAATCAATAGGAGAGGAGAGGATCACAATTAACACAACATATATGCCGTATCTCTTTATATTTCTTTCCAGTACAAAGAAATCATACAAAAGCAGTGAACATTTCATTCAAGCAAGGCAAATGACATTGCTCTTTTCTTCCTCTTTTTATGTAAATTTTCATTGGTGTAATTTCTCGGAGATTAGCGTAGAATAACCAAACCAATTCGGTTAGACTTTGTCAAGTTAAAGAGAAATATCACTAGATCATAGAATTCAGTATCAATCGGCCATACGTTGTTATGTTACTATAAGACCTAAACTAAATGAAACTAAACTGTAATGTTAATATTAATTCAACTGCTCTTTGAAGCATAAATCAAACCAAATTAGATAACGTTTTTTTTTTTTCCCGAAGTCTGGGGTATCCCACACCATGAACGGTAGGACTAATCCCTAGTGGGGGTTGAAAAGGCTAAAGACATTTCAACCTACCACATGCCATGAACTTTCGACGAAAAAATCATCCGTGTTTTTGTTAGATTCATTCCTCGAATTTAAGACAAAGAAGCAAACATGACTTGAAATTCTACCGTAATTTCACTAAACCATTCATTTAGATACATTAGCTGAACGTGACAGTTAATACGTCCATTAATAACTAGCTGAAAACAACAGTGTCGTTTCGTTACTAGTCAAACCGAGTTGTTGCCACAATAAACCCACACCCAAGCTCCGATAAAAAAGCCTAGAATCCTTGTTTTTTCGGAATCCAAAACGTCGACGTTTCATATTCTCGTTCAGCGGTCGGAGGAGCAGATGACCAGCGGCAGCGGCGGACACGAAATCGCAGCTCCACTCAGTAAGCACGCCCTCAAATTACAAATTTCTTGTTGCGTATTTTTGCTTAATGTTTAAATATTCAGCATAATATTGATGCAAACTCTGAATCATCTGGTGGTACAAGAGTGAAGTCGATGATGTTGCATTGGAATCAGAACGAAATTTCTACTATCTCTGGCGAATTTGACCTCATTGTTGCGAGTGACTGGTGTGTTCCTCTTTCTTTCAACTTTCCATTCATTAATGTGCAATCCCACATCACTTTTAGCCCTTTTCATTAGATCAAGATTATGTGCCGCGGTTACCTGAACGTATGTGGCAAGTTCTATGCACTGCCCAAGATCTCTTCTTTCCATCTGAAAGACATGGAATTTAGACTTGGTTGGTGCGATGGTGTTGTGTCACCTCATGATACCCCAACTTTGCAGAAGACCACTTTACATTCTTGGATGGATATGGTCGATTCCCCCTTTGTTTATTTTTAATTATTACTTTATGATGAGTTTGGGAGGTGATTGGTGAGGAAAAGTTGCTTGTTGGTTGCAATTTTTGGTTGGTCTGGGGAAACTTAACCTCTTGGTTTTCTTCACTAACTGACAACAGGCACTTGTACAAAGTATGTAACATAAATGCACCGTAATGTGTTGTTAAATCTTTATGCTCTGTCTTGTTTATATTCATTAACTTGATATATCATATTCACAGCACTTTTTTGAAGGAATTCCACAATGGACTTGCTCAAATCCTCAAATTCCTGCTGGGAAAAGTGCAGCCCTCTGAAGCTATGTTCTTCGGTCCCAAAAGGGGCGTCTCCTTGGACGAGTTCTTAGAGAGAATCAAAGAATGTGATTTGCGCTTCAGCATAGCGGAGAATTATGATGCATAAATTTGGAAGCTTCATAAGGAGCTTTTGGATGGTACTGGTCCGTGGCCTAGCTATAAAAAAGATCACTGCTATCCCTTATTGATCAAAATTACGGTATGAACTTTTGAACCCATATTCCTTCTTCAGCTGCTCATATTTCGGGGAATGTAGATTCTGTGTGGTAGCATGGATTGTGTGTGCGAATTGTTTTGTTATCGTAAGGAATGGGAAATGGAATGTACAGCCAAAGTTCGGTATCGTTGCCCCCGCAAATGGTGGTGGATACAGATCCATAGTCACTTAAACACCAGATTCCTTCCTTATCATTGTGTAGATCCTCCCTCATTTGTAGCTACCAATTGGAATGGAAAGAACGGCATTACCCATTTTGGTTGATGCAAAATAATTGTGATTTCCTTTTTAAGTCTGTAGGTCCTGGCAGATTTATAGTTTACCAATTGTAATGGAAGAATGGGATTTTGCTTTTTTCTTGATTGATATTAAATATTGTTGATTTCCCTTTTAGCATGTTCTGGGGGGGGGGGGGTGCATGAAAGTTATAAACTTTCGTCTGAAGACTCCTTATCTTTATTTGAGCATCAAGTCACATAATTAGCTTTAAAAATATAGCCATCCATGACTAAACATTGACATGGACAGTAAAGGACGCTGCGGAACAATGTCAAAAGCGATATATACTCTTTGGATCGGTTAAACTAACATATCATGGAAGTGGGAGATTACTTGTTTGCTTTGAAGCTATGTGTCACTGCAGGCTCACAGAAAGGAAGAACCCTTGTCTGCTTAGTGTCAAGATGACACGTCCTGGATCAAATCCAAAGCTTTTTTAAAGGTGAGCCTCTCTCTATTCTCCTTTCACTATTGCTTTACGCTGGTTGGTTCCGAGTGCCACTTGTTCATATGAAATTTTACTACTTAACTCAAAAACTATACTCAAATTCGCAGGTGGATTACGAATCATCGTTGAAAATGGACCAGTCATGATCAGATCAATCATCTTATCCAAAGGAAAAAGTTGGTTGTTCTCTGTCTTTGTATTGCTTTGCTTTGTGTGGTTTCCCCACTCAAGTGGTTGAAGAATCACCTCTTTGTATACATATACATCCATGATGTCGAACTCCAAGGAAATCATCGTTGTAGGGCGGCAATTTGGAACATACTTACGACAACATGTTTAGGCTTGTTTGCTTATCTTGTTAGTAATCATAACGAGAGAGAAGATGAACCGTTCATAATTGCCATTACTGATTGAAATTACATAGTTTCTTTTTGGCTTCAGGTATGATGATCAGAATGGGAGACCCCTACACGCACTCCTTTTGCTGTCAATTCATCAATGCTTACTGCGCACGCCTATCATCGTGCTACACGTTCACATCGAAAAGTGCTTGCGTAAGTGGATTATGTGGTGGTTAGATTACGAGTAATTCTTCTGTGTGATTGTCGCACTATCACAAAAACAGAACGTGGAACCTACAAATAATTGTAGACCCCAACTACGAGAAAGTGGTCGTGGTTAACAAAAAAAAAAAATTGTAGGGAAATGAGGCACATTTTTATTTCTAAACAAATGCTTATGCGTCATGCATTAGTATATGTATGTGTATGTATCGAACACCGAATATTGTGGGATTTGGACGTGGGTGGTTTACAATTGATTCTCGTCAACTTTCCTTCACTATCCCCACCTTGGCATCTCTCGGTTGCATGTATGTTTCTCTCCTCTCGACAATGCCAAGCAGTCGGCCATTTGGGGCAGGATTGGCTACTGTAACTGTCAAAATGTGAGAGCCAAAGAGATGACCAAAATCAGCATGCTTTGAAGAGCCATGGAAGTGGAAGGTTGGGTTTTGGTTGAATCTCCAGTGGCCAAATTGGCTAGCAATGAAGAACCTATTGAGTTCGACCCAGAATCTGACCCTGACCCCGACCCTGATTCATCGGTTTGTGGAGACGAATCTCTTGAAGATTTTAGACTGCACAAAATATATCCCGGAACCAAATCTCCCATTACAAGCCAGAGGCTTTAGGGGTCCCCATTTTTCAAAAAAATGGGCAGTCGCTCTCACTCACAGCATAGAACTTTTGATGAATTGTTGTGGTGAGATAAAACACAGGTATAATCTCCACCACTCACATTTCATTTAAACAAACATCAAAACGGTGGGAGCTGCTTGTCCCATTTTTTTTTTTTAAAAAATGGGGATCCCTCCCCTTAAGCAATTCCATTACAAGCATATTATGCAAATCGTTAAAGCCGATTAATGTGGATTTAAAATTAATAATCAAACAATGTAACATGTTAAACCGTTTAGAAAAAATTAAAGCCTTTACCTCGAAGTGAGAGAAGCGCAAAATATGATTGTATAATCAGCACCCGTACACGTAAACGTACTCGAAGCGTCATCATAAGCGTAGCTATACGACTTAGGACATGCGGACTTAAACAATTGTGAGTACATGGACGGCTTGCATGTAGACGGTGAACCATACGCGCCGTTGCAACAATACTCCGGACTTCCAAACGCGTCACACGCGCTCTTGCACGCGCCGCCACCTTCGGCTTTGAGCTCAGCAGGGCACCTCCGGTTAAGGTCCGTAACACACCCGGTGGACGCGCACGCACCCGATCCCCCACTCCCCTGAACGATCATAGGTAAGTTATAACCGTCAACAAGGCTGACATCATAGAAGTCTTGAGAACCCGAACCGAGTGTGAACTCGGCTAGAGTGGCTGGCGGGGCCGCTCCAGCTCCGTTGCACTCGAGCTCGCCCGAGCCGCAGTCCCCGGTTGAACACGAACCGCGACCGGAACCGTCGAAGCTGCAGCCGGTTCGGCCCCAGAACCGACCGGACCAGCCAGTAGGGGCTTGGAAAACGCGGGAGCTGCCTTTGGGGAGCTCGAAGCCGGTGCTGTCGAGCTTTTCGCTGCCGGAGCTAGCTAGAATTCCCGGCCATACTGTGAAGTCGCACTTATTTGTGAACGTGAATGTGGCTGCTGACACCCCTGCAAACAAAAACAGAAAAAATGTATAAAATTATTGATAGTTCGATTGAATTACGAAAATGTAATAACAACCCAAAGTGGTAAAATTGATCGAATTGTTAAAATTTTGTGTCTTTTTTTTTTTTTACCTCTGGTAATGATTAGAAGAAGGAAGGTGATGTGGTAAGAAAATGGAGCTGCCATGAGGATTTTGGTCAAATTTGGGGGAATCATAGAGGTTGCAAATTTATTTTTCAATGATTGTTGAAAATCTTAAATGGCAGCGAATGTTGGGTTTCTCTGACACAGAAACAGAGTCTGCAAATGGCAAATGTTGTGGAGAAAAAGGATTGGAAGAGGAGGAGAAGGAGGAGGATGGTGGAGGAGGAAGTGGTGGGAGAGAAGGAGGAGGAAGGCGGAGGGAGTGGTGGGAGAATCTGAATGATCAGCTGAGGGTCTCTATTTATAAGGAATTCATACACAAAAATAGAAGATGGCGATGTGAGTGTCAGCACCGACTCGCCATCATGGGAAGAATTTATATATATATTTTTTTATTGATTAGACGGTGTCCCAATTAGATTTGAGGTTAGTGTTGTGAAATGACTAAAAAATATCTTGTGAAATGACAAAAATATCTCACTTGTTGGGTAAAGATGTCTTTTCATCTGGAAATTAGCTGGATCTTTGCTCGCGTGGCAGCTTATAATTGGCGTACCAGTCAAATTAGTTTCCGACGGTAACCAAACATCACCCTGTTGAAGGAGAAGTGACTAACAATATGAAATGCACCTAAACGATCTCGCACATTTGAGAATTTGCTCAAGTCCCAAATCTCAAATTTCGAATTTGAATGAGGGCCCCAGGAACGCTTAATTTTTACTATGGTACTAGTCCTCGTCTTATTATTAACATTTACTATGGTACTAGTACTCATCTTAATAGGTAAATAACGAGAGTAATTGTTCGTTATCCATCTGACTTGGTAACCTACAATCTTAAATCCTATCATGACACTGGCACTATATTTTATTAAAATTTCATTTTCTCAATTGCAGGTGAAAAGTCTTAAATTTAACTCTTATAAAAAATGAAATCAATATTAAATTACTATTTACCTATTGAATGACTCAGTCTCACATATAACTTCCACTATTGTGGTACAAAAAAAAAAAAAAAAAACGAAGATAACAAGACCAAGGCATTGGAGAAATTTTTCTAGGTACATGATACACCAAACAGCTGGTGTTCCCTACAAATGAACACCTGACACTTGGCCTGGGTTCCATCTTTTTGACACATTGCCATTTGAGTTATCATCTTCCCATTTAATTCATAAATTTTCAGTAAAATAAATTCAAATAAATTGAACCCAGATTTTCTCTTGGAGTCTCCGACTTCTGGCCCTACCCCAACCCATCTCTGCCTTCCCCTCAATCCTTTCTCTTTCTATCTCCTTCTTCCTCCCTATTTTTCATTCTTACCCTCCCTTACGTCGACGAAAGACACTATAAATTGTCGTCGACCACCAAGGGGCTTTGATCGGAGTTAATGATAGTAGATTTGAAAGTTGGAGTTGTTATCGATCATCCTTGAGCTCCATGATGAGGTAAGAATGGAAGAAGAGAAAGTGAAGAGTATGAGGAAAAGAATTAATGAGGTGTCACCGGGGAAATTATCATTGTCGATGGAGGTGGGTCGTTGTCGAAAGTTCATGGTGGTTCGTAGTGGGTGGTTGCTGTGAGTTATTAGCGGGGGTGGATGATATTTCCAAGTTTCTGTTTCACTTTCGGGCATTGTAATCGACAAATTGGGTTTAGTTTTTATTTAATTGATTTTCTTAAAAACTAAATCAGATAGATTCTTTAATGGGAAACGTGCAATCTTCCAATTGGATGGGTACACCAACTGTCCATGGTGATGTGGGGTTCCCATCACCCCAAAAAATTTCTCAAGGCATTGGGCCATGAGGAGCATATAAGTGAAGTCAAAGGCAATACGAGGCACCGCGTGTCCTCTCATATTAGAGAATAGGAATCACATGCAATTATTGGAAAATTGAAAGGGACATTGACTCTTGTCTCCAGAACATGCAACAAACGAGACTGGGTTACTTTCTCTCCTCTGTGGGAGCCCTCCCTAGTGAGTTTCTTTCTCTCCTCGGTGAGAGTGTTACTTAATTCGGTTTTTCTTGTGATTTGCCTCTTGTTTTCTAGTTTCCCACTACTGGGTTTGGTGTTCTGGTTAATGTTTTCATTGGTGATTTTTTCCCTTTATGAAGGTGAGGTTGGTGGGGTGGTTGCTTGTGTGGATTTTTTGGGGTCTGGTTGATGATGTATACCTTTTGGGACTTGTTCCCTTCAGGTATTACTTGGATCCTAATCGGGTGGATAGGGTGGCATTTATTGAACCAACACAAGTTGAAGGGTGAAGGAATAAGGGGTAGTAAGCAGAGCATTGATTTGAAACAATTAAGAGCAGTTAATGTTTGGGTCATCAGTTCACCTACTAGAATAGAAATGCACATATTATTACAATATACTCTCAGAATTATCAAAGGAGTTTATTTCAGGTGTGTACGAGTAGGAAATCAACAACTGGGAGTTCAAGAAAGTAGTAGCCTTCTCATTGTATTCATTATCCATACTTACCATCAGACCATGAGTACTGTTCATGAGGAAGATCGGGGAAGGGTGCAAGTGGAGGTGGAGGAGTTGGTTGTGCATTTGGAGGAATCATTGGAAATCACTCATACGGAGCAGAGGGTCAAGTTGGTGGGGGTTGTGTTAAATGAAAAGCCCCTAAATAAATGGGGGGGGGGGGTCAGAAACATACTGCGAGCAGCTTGGAAAAAGATGGGTGAGGTGCAAGTTAAATGGGTGAAAGACAACATCTTTGTTATCACTGTGCATGATGAAAGTTCTGCTAGGAAAATCCTATCCCAGGTCCTTTGGGCAGTGATGAAGAAAAATTTTTCTGTTAGGAGGTGGCCCCAGGAATTAGCTTTGGAGGAAGTTCAATGGGCAATGGTCCCGTTCTGGGTCCAAATTAGAGATGTTCCATTATCTCTTAGTATAGAACCGAACATCAGGAGGTTAGCAAAGGAAATTGGACAGCTGGAGGAACTTGAAGATCCATCTCTGGCTCGTGGTTTTTTTGCGTGTGAGTATGCTAATTGATACTACCAAGCCTCTGGTTAAGGGATGTTGGCTACCTAGGACGCAGAATCAGGATACCTAGATTGAATTTAGGTATGAATGACTTCAGGATTTTTGCTATAGATGTGGCAAAATTGGTAATTCGATTGAATTACGAAAATGTAATAACAACCCAAGTGGTAAAATTGATCGAATTGATGAAATTTTGTGTCTTTTTTTATTTTTTATTTTTACCTTTGGTAATGATTAGAAGAAGGAATGTGAGGTGGTAAGAAAATGGAGCTGCCATGAGGATTTTGGTCAAATTTGGGGGAATCATGGAGGTTGCAAATTTATTTTTCAATGATTGTTGAAAATCTTAAATGGCAGAGAATGTTGGGTTTTTTCTGACACAGAAACAGAGTCTGCAAATGGCAAATGTTGTGTGTGAAAAAGGAGTGGGAGAGGAAGAGAAGGAGGAGGATGGTGGAGGAGGAAGTGGTGGGAGAGAAGGAGGAGGAAGGCGGAGGGAGTGGTGGGAGAATCTGAATGATCAGTTGAGGGTCTCTATTTATAAGGAATTCATACACAGAAAAGGAAGATGGCGATATGAGTGTCAGCTACCACCGACTCGCCATCATGGGAAGAATTTATATATATATATATATATATATATATATATAATTATTGATAAGACGGTGTGCCAATTAGATTTGAGGTTAGTGTTGTGAAAATTAAATGACTAAAAAAATATCATGTGAAATGACAAAAATATCTCACTTGTTGGGTAAAGATGTCTTTTTATCTGGAAATTAACTGGAGCCTTGCTCGCGTGGCAGCTTATAATTGGCTTACCGTTTTCTTTTGACAATTGTCAAATTAGTTTCCTTTCCTCTCATAATGCGGGGGAAGAACACTACAAAACCAACCTTATGACGGTAACCAAACATCACTCTGTTGAAGGAGAAGTGACTGCAAAGATGGAATGCACCTAAACGTTCTCGCACATTTAAGAATTGATCATGTCCCTAATCTCAAATTTCGAATTTGATTGAGGAGAGCCACAAGAATGCTTAATTTTTACTATGGTACTAATCATCGTCTTATTCTTAACAGTTAATAGGTATGTTGATGCGGTCACTAGTGAGGATAAATATGTAAAGAGATAGGGACAGGGAAGCAAACACAAGATGTATGTGGTTCACCCTAAGTTTGGCTACGTTCACGGAGTAGAAGAGTTCTCATTAATCGTGAAGGGTTTACACAAATACATTGGTTCAAACATAATCATCATTAGTGAGTTCTAATGACTAGTTTAAGTGCAGTAATGACATTAGGGATTAATTGTGGGAGAATAGTCTCATTTATAGTCTAGGAGAGTCTTTAGCTTTTGTCCGCGGTCGATGTGGGACTCTATGAGCTTTATTATGATGATTGACCTCCTGGTTGGAGGAAAACTCTTGTGTTTCAGTAGAGATGACTCAGCATGAACCCCCTCAGTGGGTCCTTGAATGTATGAAGTTGATTGGTGCTTGGTAGTTTCGGGTTTGGTCAAGTATGGTATAAACAGTGTTCTCTTAAGTACCCGAGTGAGGAAAGCTTCTCGGTTGGGAACTTGCAAAATTCAAATCGTTGAGTAATCACGAAATTTCTAAGTACCGAAGTGTAGTAGCATATAGTGAGAGTCCCCCAAGTCTTTAAGCGAGAAGAGTTACCGAAAGAGGTGCCTTACTAGTAGTCAAGTTGTCAAAATAAGAGGAGGCCCATGCTTCCTTTCTTTTGGACCCATTTCCCTTTGTCAAACTTGATAGGCTCAGTGCCCTTTAAATTTAAACTTGTCTTCTTTTTTTTAGCAAGGCCCAAGGAAAGAAAAGAGGCCCACGCCTCCTTTTTTTTTTCTTTCTTTACTTTTTATAGTAGCCCAGACTTTGAGGCTCGAGGAAAAGAAAAGGGCTAGCTTTAGTTGAAACTGGCCCGAGGCCTGCTCGAAACCCTAGCCTTGTACCTATGTGCCATCTCCTTCCTCATTTAGAGCAACTCCAGCGTTGCAAAGTCCCCATAGGGCAACTTACTATTGAATCATCACAATGAACAGTAACTACCTTTAATGAATAGTAATTATCTTTTGCATCTCCACCCCTAAACTGAATAGCCATGGCAATAGGTAATAAAATATTAGTAATTTTTATTTCATAAAATAATACAAAATAATTTTATTTGTAATTTTGGATAAGATTTTTAATTGTTCTTGTTACGCCACGTGTCATTATTTGAAAAGACAATTTTTGGTGATAGATTTCGATAAGATTTTTATCCAATGCCGTTGTGTCACATGTCGTTACCTTTTCAGAATCGTTAAGGATAAATTTCCAA